TTGATTTCAACACTAAAAAGAGTATTTATGTATGTGGGTGTTTATTTCTTTCCTGTTGTGCTGTACTGCAGTCTGAGGATGGGGCCAAGAGGCAGAAGCTGAGTGAGGGGAGTTCCACTGTGCCTGTCTCCTCTGGCCCTGCAGCCACTACTGCCGCTATGGGGAAATCAGGCATCCGCAGGAGTATGCGCCACAGGAAGCTGCGCGGGGAGAAAGCCCTCATTGTCTCCGCCAATCAGACTCTGAAAGAACTCAAGATCCAGGTACATGTTTGGAGTCATATATAATAATAATAATAATAATAATAATAATAATTATTATTATTATTATTTTATTTCATAGTAATAACATAGGCACAGGGTATGTATTATATAGAAATATGAAACTGAATACCAAAGGCCATTTTTAGATGTCTTATATCAGTTTTTGTGAGAAGAATAAGAAATTCATTACTAAATAGCACCGTAATTATCCATTTGTTGTAATTAAAAAGTTAAAGTGGAATTCCACCAATTTTTCAAAAGTTTTCAAAATTGTGAGATGATTTGATGTAAAATGGGTTACTGTAAAACACATATTGATTCTTTACAGTGGTGGTGATGGGAACAAGGGGTTGCAATATCTACACAAATCTAGCCATTTGTTTCTAGCCATTTTATTTACTGTCCAAAAAAAAGTTTTCTTTGGGGAGTATTTTGCCTTACAACTCCCTGCAAAGCCAAAAACCTTCTCAGAGCTGTCACAGAGATCAGGCATCATATTCGTAACCTTTTCATGTAATAACTTTCTGTGAAGGAGCTTTTAGAAGCATTAAACTCATCAGACGTCTGGTTCCTATCACCACCACTGTGAACAATTCGGACTCGGTAAGTTTCTCTAGAACAAAGCATTTCATGTCAAACCACTCTGAATGACTGTTTATATCTTAAACATTTGATTATGCAGAAATCTGGAAAAATCCCCAGAATTCCACTTCATCCACACTGTTGTACAGCTTATTCAGTTGCTTCATCCGCATTTTGTCTAGATGCACTGCTCTCATGTTCTATGTCTATGTGCCTTTCAGTAACTGATATATATTTTGTCTAATATGGCTTCCTTTCTGTAGATCATGCATGCCTTCTCTGTCGCACCATTCGACCAAAACCTGTCTATAGATGGCCGGTGTTTAACTGACGATTCTGCCACACTAGGCAGCCTAGGAGTTTTTCCAGAAAGCATCATATTTCTAAAGGTACCTTTTATAACAATGTTCCACTTGTATCTCATCCACAGTCAGAGGAATACAGTACAAAGATGTGTTATGTCTTACTTACTACGTACCCCCTTTTTTGTGCCATAGGCTGATGAACCTATAGCAGATTATGCAGCTATGGATGATGCGTACCAAGGTAAGAAGTGTGTGTAGACTAAGTAATATGTTTCCGTTCCACTTGTAAGTTGTATATGTTAACACCATATAGTCATGCAAGTTAAACTAACAATATATGGCATATTTCTGCAAATTCTATGGCACAGTTTCTTTTTTTTGCTGACACACTAAAAACACACTAAAAAAACATAAAATGTACCATACCTTTTGCACTATTTATGCTTATTGTTAAAGTGAGCAAATAAATAGTGATTTTGCATTAAAATGTGCAGGTGTGTGTTCTCTGTAGAGGTTGTGTTCACTTATTTTTACTTAGGAAATCAACATGTAATTTGACCAGGGGTGCACAAACCTTTGTAGCTAAAGAGAAGCACTTCATATTTCCATATGCTTGAAACATTGATTCTCTTCACTGTAATGATGATTTTAAGATTGATTTTATTTACTGCAGTTATACTGCAATAAGATATTCGGCTTCCCAGCAGTAACGTTAGCTATGTTGCCTTCTGCATTCATCAGCTAATGGGAAAAGAAAATTGAAACAGCCCATCCCCTAAAATCTAACTAAAGCAGCTGTACTTTTTCTGAAGTTCCTCCCACCTTCAAGATACATCATCCTAAGGGGGTTTCATAGACTTTAAACTGGAAAATCTTACTCTAGAGCAGGGGTGTCAAACTCAACCAGTAAAAGGGCCATATTAAGAAGTATCAGCACATCTGTGGGCCAGCAGTGTAATTTTTTTTTATTTTTTCTTAACATTTTGACCTGAACTGGCCACTGTATATTACAAATATGCCAAGACTGCAACAGCAAACTGCATTGAATACCTATTAAAAATAATTCTATATAAAAACATTGTTCTAGGTAGTAAACTGCCTATTTGCTTGATCTAGACACCAGGCATCTTTTCTTTTTATGTAACTGCTGGCCCAGAGATGATCAGTGGGGGAAAACTGTCAGAATGCACACTATGTTGCAGTGCATGCTGGGAACTGTAGTGCATCTTGGGGTGAAACAGACTAATAAGAATAGAAAATTTAAATAATTTTGCGGGCCGAATAGGACTGTGTCACGGGCCTGACTTGGCCCGCGGGCCTTGTGTGTGACACATGGGCTCTAGATACTCCTGCAGCACCACCGTAGGATGCGAGTAGGCATGTTTGCAACAAATGTGGCGATGATGGCATTTTTAATTTTGATCATAGTGCCCATTTAATGCTTTTACTGCCTTTATTGTGGATATATCTCCCCATCATTGCATATGTGTGACTATGAACATTCTTTTTCACAGTCTGTTTGCCTGAAGAAGGATTTAAAGGTAAGAAACAGTTTTGTTTGTAATTAATACAGCAGTTTCTCAGTTTCATTCATTGAAGTCATTGGCTTAAAGCACAAGTCTACTAACTGGTCTACTAACAGTCTTTTTTTAAATATATTTACACAGGTACCGGGCTACTAGGACACTGATCGAAGTTGGTGATGTGAATCCACACTAAAAACATCTATGTGAAGAAAAAAAAGCTTGAATTAGGCTGAGGTGTTCATTGAAGGGGTGATGTTAGGTTTTGTTTTTTGTGTCTCGTTATTTTTTGCTTTGTAACTTAATGTTGCAACTCCTTTAAAGAGTGTCTGTCTTTGCTTTGGGGAAAAAAAGTGTGATGGCTTTTAATATTACAAGATGTTGATGCATTCTGTTAGTGCATACCATGACTGTGAAAAGATACGGGTCGAGACTTGAACTGATCTTTTACGTAATGGGAGTCTTTCTTGTCGGTGGCAATGTCATGTTATCCCGAGACGATGGTCCGGTGTTTAGGTGCCCATCGTGTTTTATTTGCTGGACAATACATTTCTGTAAAAGTTATCAGAGAATATTTCATTTTCCACAGAGTCACATGGTTACACTGCACTTTCGCTCAGATATACATAAGAATGCATGAGCAACTTCAATATTAAAAATATAAGCGTCTGTTTAGCTATGATGAAAACCCTCACCAAAAAATTAACTTTAGTGAAAGTGATGTCTAGAGAGACGAGGATGAATATAAAGACACATTTCCAAACCAGGAAAAATAAATAAACAACAAAAAAAAACTTGCAAAAATAGTTTAGACATGTTCTGCTACTACTTGAAATGTTATGCAGGCATTTGTGTGAACTATTCTTTTCTGTAAGTCTTTCATATGGGCAATAAAGTTACTTTTTTCACATGCTCAGATATTTCTCTGCGTGAAAACGTGGACTAATTTGTCCCAAAAAGAAAACTGGAAAGCATACGAGCCCTTCATCTTGGATGTAGACCAATTAACTCGTCTTTGGGCTTCAGTAAGTTCCAGCCAGTCACTTTGACTTAATCTTAAACGTAAACAAACACTTTATTTATTGCATTTATGTAAAAATTTGAACACTTTACTTTAGAAGCTGCAGCCAGAAGGTAGCAGATTTATTCTTGTAGTTAAAAAAATGGATGTCCAGGATCCTGTGATGGACTGGCAGCCTGTCCAGGGTGTATCCTGCCTTCCGCCCAATAACAGCTGGGATAGGCTCCAGCACCCCACCACGACCCAGAAGGATAAGCGGTTTAGATGATGTGTGTGTGTGTATGTGTGTGTGTTAGTGACTGTCCAGGATCTGAGAGAACTTCTGCTTTACTACAACACCTGGGAACTTCAAGGTAGGTCAAATTACAGTATAGAAATTTATCAGTTATTATAATTTTCCTGTGTATTTTGTGGGGCTGGATTACAAGCAGTTGGCCATGTGTAAGAGTCTGTATGGAGTCCTTAAATATTGATGGTAGGTATTACAACAGGGCTGATTAGTAATTAAGTAGTCTACTGATTCTTTTTTATGATTAAGCAATCAGATTTAAAAGGTCAAATGATGAAAATGAACTTGTTATATATTGTGAGTTAAGTATTATAAATTAACATGAAAGCATATTTACTATTATTTGGTAAATAATTAAATGGCCTAATTACACAGATCTATTTCTGTGCACCAATGAACTACATTTGTTATCAAAAACTAATACTGAATAAAATGGAAAAGGATTCTAGGAGGTTGTGACAACGTACAGTCAACATAGCACAGATTACTTTTGCTGTCTTGTCAAGGTCACAACCTAATGAGGAATTACATTTCAACATTGTGGCAACGTAGAGAGCACCAAAACAGTACGTTGTCACAAGGGGTAACTAAGCTATAGCAAACTATTAATAGCCTTCGAAGAAACCTAAATAATTTACTGGAGAAAACAAACAAGCCTTATAAAAATATAAAACATTCTGAGGAAAATGCATATAAATGACTGTGTCCTCCAGGTTCTGTAACCAGCAGAATTAAAGTTTGATCATGTTATCAAGCAGTGATTCTTTAAGAAAGGTAGATTTTAATCGAATAATCGTGGCCCTTTATGCTGCCAAGACAACAAACCTCAAAAAAAACATGCTCCATAAACGCACTATAAAAGGGGGAGAATAACCTCTACTTTGGTGGCTGCCTTATTATACTCTCTGTACTCGTTTTACTCAGTTTCGACAGTGAAAAACTCTTTAAATGTGTCGATTTTTTTTTTATTTACTCTGAATTTGTATATCGACCATAGCATCAACACGCATGCGCAGTAGCTCCGTCGCCATTTTCGGAATGAAATCTTTATTGCGGAGCTGTTTGTCCTTCGGAGGAGTTTAAATAAAGAGCCGGACTGTTTGAATGACGTTAAAGGTAATGGAGAGGAGCGGTCATTGCTCAGCGCGAAAAACGAAAATAGAGAGGAAAAATCCATATATAATCCTCTTTATGTCTTAGATAAGCTTAAAAGCTTCGTGTAGCCCCACGAGGCTGAAGTTAGCTTCCTTTTCGCCCGTTTCTTGTTCGAATTTTCCCGTTCCACCTTAAATGGTGCAGCAGTTACATTGTGGCTCGCGAGGAGCGCGAATGTAACTGCTGTGCCATTTAAGGTGGAACGGGAAAATTCGAACACGAAGCTGACTTGAGCTTCGTCGTGTAGCGTTGCTGTAATATCACCAGCAGGCTAACAGAGCATCATGTATAATCACATTTCTGTCTTTACAAGTGTATATTTAGCTTATTTTGCTTATAAATGCTTTATAGGTTGCTGCCAAAGTCAAAATACACCCTTGATATTGGCCACTTAGGGTAACAGAGCTAGCTATGTTTCCATTTATTTACCCCTTCATGCCCTCACATTTAAAGGGGGATTCCACTGATCTTTCAGAATTGCTGGATAGGTCAGTTGTTGAGATGTGAACATGTAAACAAAAAGTCGTTCAGAGTGGTTTGGTGTGAAATGGTTAGTTGTAGAGAAAAGTACAGACTCAGATTCCTTCACAGTGGTGGTGATAGGAACCAGGCGTCATGTGTACAACACAAGTATGGCCATTTTATTTACTATCCAAAACCACCAGTGAACCTGGACGTGTCTTCTGAGTTTGTAAATGTAATGTTGATGGTGGTAAAACAGTGTTTCAGACATCAGGCAGTGCATTCATAACTATTCCATGTAAACTTTCTGTAAGGGAGATTTTAGATATTAAAGGGTTTGGACGTCTGGTTCCCATCACCTCCACTGTGAACAATTTGCAGAACAAAGCGAACCACTCTGAATGATCTTATTTATATTTAGTTTAGTTTGCATTTTTATTTAATTATGCAAAAGGAAAAGAAAAAATCCCTTTTAATAGAAAAAAAAATAATGGAAAAATTATTAAAGCCTAATTTGGAAACAGTGCTTGTGGATCAGGAAAAGCAGAGACAAAAGTAAAGAAGTAAATGCAAAAGTTTCTTTTGGACATAAACGAGTGAACTGTTGTTCTGTATACATGAACAGCGTATTCATTCTGGGCATAAAAAGCCTCATCTGGATGTTAAACATATGCTACATCAGTATTTATATAGATATAGTTGCACCAAAGACGTTTCCTCTGAAATGAAGGATATTAATAGGGATTATGTCCAACTTTGATGCTATAACACCCTTTACACTAAATGTTGGAACATTGCTGTGAGGATTTGATCGCATTCAGCTACGAGAGCATTAGTGAGGTCCGGTACTCATGTTGGATGATAGTTCTGAAACTTCAGCTCCAACCCAAAGATACTGGACGGAGCTCCATCAGTCCAGAGAACGCAGTTCCACTGCTCCACAGCCTAATGCTGGGTGGCTTTATACCCCTCTAGCTGACACTTGGCATTGGGCGTGGTGACCTTAGTCACTCCAGGGCACCCCATTCTATTAGTCAGTCATTTTCTATGGAGATTATACAAACTGTGTGCACAATTGAACTATATCAATAATGGGTTCACCTTCATTTTTCTAATTACAGTTTCCCACCTGTGCAGGTGACCGATGGAGCTGCCGAACTACAACAGGCAGCTGATGCAGCAGCTGCAGGCTTTGCGAAAAGACTGCCAGTTCTGTGACTGCACCATTCTGGTGGAGGGAGCCCCTCACCCGGCCCACAAAGTCGTCCTGGCCGCTTCCAGCCTGCTCTTCAAGTCTCTCCTCGAAAGTTCAGACAGCATCTCCATCGACACAGCTGTGGTCACCTCCCAGGAGTTCTCCTCTTTGTTGGACATGGTCTACACGGGCAGACTGCCGCCAGGCAAGCACAACTTCTCCCGCATCATTGCCGCGGCAGACAGCTTGCAGATGTTTGATGTTGCTGTCGGTTGCAAGAACATTCTCAATGACCTTGTGAAGCAGGTCCAGACCACAGAGCCTCAGCTTTTGAAGGAAGAACACGTGGACCTCCAGTGTACTACTCCTTTGTGTGAAAGGGAAGAGGCAACTGAGGTCAGTACTTCTGAAAGCCGGGGAGACCTTGCTTCAGAAGAAGGTACGTCTGATTGTCCAGGGATTTCGGAGGACAGTGTGAAGAACGTGGAAAAAAGGAATGGGTCGAATGATCTGAAGAGGAATACAGAGGATTCATGTAAAAGAGCTGGTCTGGAGTCATCAAATGTTGATGGTATATTTGAAATTAAGCTTTACTGATTGTATTTTTGATATAATTTTAACTTTATGAGCCAATTTAGACATAGTTTAAAGGGCCCATATCATGAAAACAAAAAATGCCTCACTTTTATGAGTTCAGTATGTATAACACTCTTAGCAAAAAGGGTTCTATATAGTACCAAAAAGGTTTTGGCTTGTAATAATAGTGGAACCATTCTCCTTTATACTAAAGAACCCTTCAAAGACCGTCTTTTTTAAGAGTGTATGTAAACATAATAAACCTAGTGTTCGCTCCACAATCCACAAATGTATACTAAGCTGCAAAATCAGCCTTTTTTGAGTTTTTTTGTTTCTTTTTTTCACAAAAAGCAACACATCTATATAACTATCTGGCCATTCAGCCTACAGCAGCTTAGCCCCGCCCATTCACGTCGAAGTTATAAGGAGTGTTTCAGCCTGGACTGCTTTTCGAACAAGGCACAGCACAGGGCAGCCAATCAGAACAGAACTCATTTACATATAAAAGGGAATATAAAAGGCATCTTACAGGCATAGTAATAAAAACAGCCTGCTTCATTCTAAGGGATAAAGGAAGGCTGGAAAATTGGCATGTAAAATGAATTATGGCTCTATTTGCTACATAAAACCACACAAATCTCATAACTGGACCTGAGAGAAAAAAATACAAACAGAAGTTTCTGATATGGACCTTTAATATAGAACATCTGTAATAACACTATAAATGGGGATTATTCATTTACAGTGCTTTTTAGTTATGTTGAGGCATATTCTTTACTGTAAAGGAGATATAAAGGTGCCATTCACTCTTTCTTATACACCAATCAGGCATAACGTTATGACCACCTCCTTGTTTCTACGCTCATTGTCCATTTTATCAGCTCCACTTACTATATAGGTGCACTTTGTAGTTCTACAGTTACAGACTGTAGTCCATCTGTTTCTCTGCATACTTTGTTAGCCCCCTTTTACCCTGTTCTTCAGTGGTCAGGACCCCCATGGACCCTCACAGAGCAGGTACTATTTGGGTGGTGGATCATTCTCAGCACTGCAGTAACACTGACGTGGTGGTGGTGTGTTAGTGTGTGTTGTGCTGGTACGAGTGGATCAGACACAGCAGTGCTGGAGTTTTTAAACACCTCAGTGTCACTGCTGGACTGAGAATAGTCCACCAACCAATAACATCCAGCCAACAGCGTCCTGTGACCACTGATGAAGGACTAGAGGATGACCAGCGACTGTGCAGCAACAGATGAGCTATCGTTTCTGACTTTACATCTACAAGGTGGACAGACAAGGTAGGAGTGTCTAATAGAGTGGACAGTGAGTGGACACAGTGTTTAAAAACTCCAGCAGCACTGCTGTGTCTGATCCACTCGTACCAGCACAACACACACTAACACACCAGCACCACGTCAGTGTTACTGCAGTGCTGAGAATGATCCACCACCCAAATAGTACCTGCTCTGTGAGGGTCCATGGGGGTCCTGACCACTGAAGAACAGGGTAAAAGGGGGCTAACAAAGTATGCAGAGAAACAGATGGACTACAGTCTGTAACTGTAGAACTACAAAGTGCACCTATATAGTAAGTGGAGCTGATAAAATGGACAATGAGCATAGAAACAAGGAGGATAATGTTATGCCTGATTGGTGTATGTGCCTGTTCATTTAAAAATATTCCTGTGGAGATATGAATCAGTGTTCTGATCAGATTAAGCCTGTGTTGTGTAATGCTGTTTGAGCAGAAGAGGGCGCAGAAGATCTGTTTTCTCAAAAGCGAGGCGAGATCCTAAAGATCCTAAAGGACGTCCAGCCATGGATTAAAATTCTTTGCACCTGGGAGAGAGTCCCTCCCGCACAACGACAGGTGAGAAAGATGAGAAAGATGTGGATATGTTTACGTCCCCTGCCTGTCACTCATACCGTCTGCCCTTTAAAGTGACTATAGCACTTAAAGGAGAATTACATTTGTTTTAACCTGCATATTTTAATTGTTGGGATGTAAGCAGAGTCATTCAGAGTGGTTTGGTGTGAAATGCTTCGTTCTAGAGAAACTTACAGAGTCAGAATTGTTCACAGAGGTGGTGATAGGAACCAGACGTCTGAAGAGTTTAATGCCTGACGTCTGAGACATTGTTCTACGATAGTTTTGATAAGGTTTTGGTCTATTTTTCAAAGATCGTTCATGGCAGATAGATACATGTAAGGAAAAAAAGTCCACAAAGAAAACTTACGTTGGCAGTTTTAGATTAGTAAATAAAATGGCTATATTTGTGTTGTAGTCATCATGACTCCAGGTTCTTATCACCACCACTGAGGTAAGTTTATCTGCAGTGAAGTATTTCAGCTGTTGAAATTCCCCTTGATGTTTCCATCTTTAGTTTTGCACTGGAACTATAAAGCTAATGTAGCTAAAAAGGAGTGAAAGCTTATAGCCCAGCCATTAGCATCATAGTTACCTATGTGGTTTCTGACACTGTGTGACATGCTATTATCTAGATCCCACGTGTCATGTCAGGCACAGTCCTATCCGGCCCGCAAAATTATTTTCATTTTCTATTGAAATAGCCTGTTTCACAATACACTGCATTACAGTCCCCAGCATGCAGTGCAACATAATGTGCTCTCCGACCCTCCTTCCCCAATAATCTGTAGGAAAGCAGTTACACCACAAAAAGAAAAGATGGAGCTCAAGCAATCAGGCAAATAGGATAGCCTGTATTTTGCTATTGCACTTTTGGCATATTTCCCTTTTGGCCTGTGGCCCTTTTAGTGGTTGAGTTTGACACCCCTGATCTATATAAATGGATCAAAGTACATTGCTTAGCTAAAAGGATTAGTAGCAGCCTTCTTGAAATCTGGATTCTCTCCGTTTGGATCTATAGTGGTCTAGAGGGTGTTATTTCACAGTTGTCATCCTCATCCCATCTTATACTTTCAAAGATTGTCATTTGTTGATACTTAGGACCACATGGTACAATATCCCAACCATTGAAAACAATATATTTGTGTGTATATATATATATATATATATATATATATATATATATGTGTATTTTTTTAATATATTATTTATTTATTTTTTTGCACTAAAACATGCAGTTTGTCTGTTCTCTTTAAGTACCTGCCATATCCATGATACACTCCGAAAAGCATTTTGTGGAATATTGTAATGTAATTTGTCATAATGTGATAAAATTTTGTCATATTACCCACGACTACTTACTTGTTACTTGTTAGCCACATTAGCATATTTTCTGGATGGTTTCCACCTTTTTCCAGATTGTGCTGGAATGCTTTGAGGGAGATCCGGGGGCTGATGTGGTATTTCAGCGTCTGTTGGACCAATTGAAGGACAAGCATGATCTCTCAGCCCAGACCTTCCTCACCCTGCTGGACCAGTTTAAGAGCCTAAAGCTCGATCTGGACGCGGTCCTGGTGGAACAGCGAGAGCCAGATCTGACAGGTAAGTATATTTGAAAGTACAGCTGAATTGGGGTTGGGCGATATAGCAAAATGTTATTTTATGCTACATCAAGAAATTTTCATGATAGATGTGCATCACAGTATTTGGTTTTTCTGAGATTTATTAAGTTGGAACAGACAAAGTAGAACCTGTAGTGCCACATCGAAACATGCTATAATAATAATGGTAATAAACCTGCACTTACAATTATTTTTTAAGTGTTTTATGCTCACTTTGTAATGAAACATGTAGGTAGTGCTCTTTAAGTGCTGATGATATCCACGGTATGCTCAGAAAAGCGCATTATGAGCTATTTTATCACACTAACGATTAAAAATCAAGTATCCCTCCACCATTAATAAATAGATTAAAATAAATTGATTACAATACATTTTAGGTAAAAACTATCGTAAAACAATGTCTCAGACATCAGGCAGTGTATTCATAAGCATGTCATGCAATGACTTTCTTTAGACGTCTGGTTCCTATCTCCACCACTGTGAACAATTCTGACTTGATAGGTTTTTATAGAACGAAGCATTTTACATCAAACAACTCTAAATGACTTTGTTTATATATTATCCATTTAATTTTGAAAAATCAGTGGAGTTCCCCTTTCAAAGGGTGAAATAAGACAGTGATTCAGTATTCTGCAACTGCAAAATTTGGGCAAAATACCATATTGCAATTATATCACCACATGTAGTGATTATGATATACCTTTTAATACGCTTGAAACACATTAGTAAACCCTTGATGTGATGTGGTTAATACAGAAGTCTGGAGAGGCCATTAGGTGTTGCTATAATATTCTGGATTGTTACCTTGAGATCAATGTGTGTGTGATTGTGTGTGTATGTCTGTCTGTCTGTCTGCCCTGCAATGGACTGGCGACCTGTCCAGGGTGTATCCTGCCTTCTGCCCAATGACAGCTGGGATAGGCTCCAGCACCCCACCGTGACCCAGAAGGATAAGCGGTTTAGATGGTGTGTGTGTGTGTGTCTGTGTTACCTTGAGATCACAAGAACTTGTTATCTCAAGATAACAATCCAGATAATTATAACAACCTCATGCCCTCTCCAGATTTCCGTAGGTTAAGGATTGGCCTGTATTATTTTGTCCAAAATGGTTTATGTTTGTTGGATCATGTGAATGTTTTATTCCATCCAGACATCCAAAGGACATCTGTGATTGGTCAGGATGGTTACAGAACACAGTAAAACATTCTGTGATTGGTCTGGCTCATTTGCGCCCTCATATTACACCCTTCAGTGATATAAGTGTTGCAAAGATCAATGTTGAGTAATGTTATGGGATGTTCTACTGTGCAGTTCTCAAAAAAGCAGTTTGGACTGTTGGCCCTTAAGGAAACACATGGTTTAGTTTTTTGAAAACGATCCAGCATCTAATTTTATAGCCTTTGAAAATTTAATGTGCTGCGTAGAGCTTCTTTTGCGAAGAAAGACGCCCTTTGAGTAAACATCGCCCTCAGCCACAGACAGTGGTTCTGTTATTTCAGGATTCTTCAGTTGCTTCTGTCCTTTTTATCACAGGGAACTCTGCAGCTGTGGTTACGAGATCTTCTGGATATCTGGATAAGCGTGCATTAAAATTGACTGACTACCTCACCAGCGTTAAGAACATCTTTGAGCTGTTGACAGAGGCAGCAGACAAGTGCAAAAATGAAGCTTTAAAGGAGGTAAACACTACAGCATCCTTTGTTTGGAAAAAATGCCTACTCTCATTCAGGCAGCGCTGTTTTTCAGGGATGCACAATATTATCGGAATCATATCAGTATCAGCAGCTGTGCTTAAAAAAATATTGCCATTGGACAGATGTTTGAATTCGACTGATATTTCAAACAGTGTGTTTATGTACTTCATGTACTCCAGATGTATTTATTGTACTCTAGAAGAGCAGAATGTTTTAGGTGATGCTGGGCTTCTGCGCTTTTCTGCTGCATTTTATTTATTTTACTGCATTTGTAAGCCTTTACAAATATATATTTACATTCCTCTGTCTAATTCAGGTGGATTTAGTCCTAATTCTGACATTTTTGAAATATTTATGCATCAGCATTAGCAGATATGTACATAAACAATACAAGATATTGGCATCAGCTCATAATTCCCATTTTGGTGGATCCTTGAAGATTTTAACTTAGTATCTGGAAATAATAACTTATTTTTTCAATTTTCATATCTTGAGTTAATGACTTTCTGTGTTGAAATTATTACTTACTTTATTTACTTACTTTAACATAGCAAGCCATTATTTTATGATAATAACAAGTCAAAATGTCATTTTCTTTGAGTAAAAAAGGAAGAATTTAGAGAAAGTAAACCCTTGTTTTGACATAGCAGGTCATTACTTTGAGTTGCTCTGTCAACATTATGAGAAAAGTTTTATTAAAGTTTGTTTAAATAAGACAGAATTGTGTTATAGTAAGTCATTATTTTGAGATAATAAGTTATTTCAGCGTAGTACGTCTGTTTCAACCCTAGTGTGGTGTTCAGGTCTGTGGGGCCCGTTTTCAGTGTTTACCAAAAGAAAAAAAATGATACGATTAATTATTATTTTAACCCCAGATTTCTTGGCCTTTGCTCATTTTCTGTGAAGAGCATATAAAATAACCCATTCTCAGTGTCTTCACTCTGTTCACCCCCCACACATTTATATTGCACATGTGGTGTTGGGTGAACCTGCGGGGAGTAGAAGTGTGGAGGTGCTGTGTCCTTCACTCTGTTCTCCTCCTGCATGGCCTGCTGTGAGTGTGTGTGTGTATGTTTATATTAATTATTATGGCTGTATTAATTTAAAAAAACAATAATGCGGTGGGTCCATCAGACCACTGAGTAACAAACACATCAACACCACACAGAAGGGTTAAGACATACTAAGTCATACTGCTGCCAGAAACAGACAGAGAAAAAAAACCATCATTTGTTTCTCCTCTCTCTGGTAGTAATGGACTTCCATTGTCATCTACATATATACATTGTATTTTGTTAGTGCCATAAATACCAACTTGGCTAATAATGAATGGAGTTAGCACAGTTAGCATCTATCTACTACTCATCGAGCCCTACTGTGGTTAATTGGCTTTCATTAGTAGTTAGTAATGCCAGCATCCTTTCAGGTGCTGTTGGAGTGTAACGGAGAGCAGAGTCGGGTGCAGGTGGTGAAGAGGCTGTTGAGCGTGCTCAGCGAGAGAGGCCTGGAGGAACGCTCTCTGCTGGAGCTGCTTCAGGAGACCTCAGACCTGAACCAGCTTCAGAAACCAAGAAACACTGGAGGTAAGCTGGATGTGTGATTGAGTGTGTGTGGGGGGAAAAGAGTGATACGCTTATAATCATGGCACATTAGTAAGGATGTAAAGTATGCATCAATGTATCATAACGTCAGAATTGAATTTAGCCAATTATAATATTTGAGTTCAGGCTGTTTTCAAATGTAAAAAAGCTCAGTTTATTGTTTTTATTGACTATATTCAGCGTCTATATTAATTGATTCTCCAGTCATGTGTGTGTTTTGCATTTTTCAAAAATAACCCCCCCCCCTCACTATCTTTGGTAATACTTGTGCTGTTGTTCTCCTCAGGTAAGAGAACGGAGGACTACAGTGGATTGGCTCTGTTGAGAATGTTCTGGAACAGACTCTGTGAGCTGAATCTGCACCCTCAGCTCATCAGCCAGAGTCTGAATGGAGGGCCCACCATCCCGTCTGACCAGAAAGAGGTAACTACCTCACCTACTTCTCAAACTAATTAAACTTTCAGACAGGCAGACACATTTTTAAATCACATTAATACACATCATATAATTGTTTCTTGACCTTATAACCACTAAAACCATAAATAAGATTCATACAAATAATATGCACACAATAATTCCCATTGTGGTGCATCCTTAAAAGATTTTGACTTAGTATCTGGAACTTATCTTTTCAGTATTTGTATCTTGAGTTAATGACTGTCTGTTTAGAAATAACTACTTTCTGTAAATTGCATAAGTCATTATTTCAACATAGCAAGCCATTGTTTCATGATAATAATAAGTCAAAATGATGTTTTTTGAGGAAAAAAGTAAAAATTTTGAGATAGCCATTATTACTTCAAGTTAATGTCAACATTATGAGAAACGTTTTTGAAAGTTTGTTAAAATAAGACAGAATTTTGTTATAGTAAGTCATTATTGTGCGAAGTCATTTCAGCATAGTAAGTCAAAATTTTGACATACTGCCTCCAGAATCCCGTCTGACCAGAGAGAGGTAACTACCTCATCTACTTCCAAACTAATAGACCAATCATGTCAAATAAATCAGCTCAAATTAAAAGCAGAGTTAACAGAATCAGAATATAAACAAATGTTTGTATTAAAATCACTTTCAATTTGGTTTTTACTCCTTTTCATAATAGCCATAAAATGAAGGTTCCACCTGCTTGTGTTGCAGGTCCCTCAGGTTTTGCACAATGCATTTTTTTCAGTAACATTGATGGGATATATTTCGATGAAAATGTGCGTAGTTTACAAAACCAGACTCAAACTAGATTTTCGTGAGCAAACAAGCCAACATTTAAAAAAGTGGGCTTGATTGATATGAATAAAGCTGTAGTCATGCTGTGTTTGTGGAGAGGTGAATTGTTTTCACAGCAGGTCTCACTCCTCCTCTTTCTTCCCACATTGCTCGCTAGCAGCTCAACACACAGCCACAGCATTTCACACACAGAGAGACAGAAATGTTCTTCAAGGGTTCTGTAGTAAAGAAGGTGGTTCTATATAGAACCATAAACACTCAAAGAACCCTTTGATTAACTAAATTTGAACCCTTTGATGATTAAATTGTTCTTAACGTTGTGAAAGCGCTCTTCAGATTGGTGTTGAATGTGCTGTAGATGGTTCTATATAGCACCAAAAAGGGTTCTGGTATTGTTACGATGTCAAGAACCCTTTTGGCGCTATATAGAACCCTTTTCAACAGGGTTCTGTAGAACCGTCTACAGCACATTCTCCATCTGAAGAACACTTTCACAATGCAAAGAACCCTTTAGTTGTGCAAAGCGTTCTCTGAATGTTCCTGGTTCTATATAGAACCTTTTTGAAAAGCACCAAAAAGCGTTCTAGTATTGTTAAAATGTCAAACCTGTAACAATAGAAGGACTCTTTTGGCACTATATAGAACACTTTTCAAAAAGGTTACCATCTACAGCATATTCTCCATCAATCTGAAGAACCCTTTCATGATGCAAAGAACCTTTTAATCATGCAGAGGGTTCTCTGAGTGTTCATGGTTCTATATAGAACCATTTTCTTTTCAAAAGAACCCTCAAAGAACCATCTTTTTTAAATGTGTAGTTAATCTTCTAACAGATGTTATATTTTTATGACTGGTTAGTTACGTGGGTGTGTTGTTCTAAATCAGTCACTGCTGTGTTATTTGGTGTGGCTGTATCGTTTGCTGTATCAGAAGATCATAATTTAGGATTGTAATTAGGGATTAGAAATGGCCAAGAACTGTACTCTCGTTTTCCTTCTCCATACTATTTTTAATCCCTAATTAAAAGAAAAATATTATTTTGTCCATTTCTGTAGAAGCTGGCAGACATCCAGCTTTAAATTTAGCCCTTAGACTACTGTATGAAAACTAAGTAACGTGGTCAGTGCCAAGAATCTCAGACTGAGACACTTTGTTGCTTTTGGCCTCAGTAAATTATGTTTGTGCGTGTTTGTGTCCGTTCAGTGTATCCAAGGTCTGCTAGACGAGGATGCAGGTGTTGGGCTGATGGACAGACTGCTGGATGCTGCTCTGAATGAGAGTCCAGTTCAGACTCTGACTGTGTGGAGGCTTCTCTTCTGGGCCGGGACGTTGAACCCTGAGCTGGGACTCTTCACACAGGAGATCAGTCAGAGCCCAGAGGCTCAGTCACTCATCCACACTGGTAACAGAGGTTTTAACTTTCAGAATTTTTCATCGGTTGTTTGTTGACGTTTCTTAAACCTCTTGACATTGATGGAACCATTGGTGGGTCCAGACTTCCACTCCTCACTTAATCTGAAATCAGGATTGTTGTGTTTACGTTGTTAATTCATATCCCTGGTTATATTAAACACAATTCTCATATCTTCTCATGTCATTTAAAAGGCAAAATGCTTATGTTCCTGTAGCCTTTAATCAAAATATAATAACTTTTCCCACCTCTAAAAAATGCCTTCTCATTCTTTATTACGTCACCATACACCAACAGGCGGTGAAATATAGTATTACCCAGTAATATCAGCTTTCATCTCCCGATCCCACCAACCCCACCTACGGTGGAGAGGTAGCTCGGAGACCCTCGCTGAGTGTTTCACTTAGAAATACGTCACAGTCACATTGACTGTAATAATAACTAATTTCCATGCAGTTTTTAGTAATGAGTCTCAATATGTGGACATGCAAATGAGTTATGGAGCTCAAATATGCAGAAAAGCTATAGTCTCATTAGTTACGTCTAATGACTTACATCTTCTTGTTTTTCCTCTCTAGTTGCTCAAGTGGATGTCTTGTATAAGCACAAAGATCTGATTCTGGAAACCTTCAGTGACGTCACTGACCTGGAACGAGCTGCAGGCAGTTCGGACTGTGATAAAGACGCTGTCACTGAGGTAAGAATGTGTGAATTATACCTCATATACTGCCAATCAAACTGATGAGACTCAGGTTCATTGTGGCAATACTAATCAAAATGATTTATTTTCCACAGAGCCATGATTTACTCCTGTCTGATATTAAAGGGCCAATATAATGGAAAACCAAATTTTCTTCACTTTTTTTTAAAATAAAGGAGTCCGGCATAGTATGCAGCACTGTAAAAGTTTCAGGATTGCATTCACTCCCCAGTCAAAACAGTCCATTTAAGTTGTTTTTGTGATGTGAACAAAACCAGTACATTTACATATATCCATATATTCAGCCTACACTTGCGTAGACTTAGCCTTTCACACTGAAATGATAAGGAGCACTTCAAAATGAATTTGAAAGTGTTTCAGAATAAATTTTTGACTGTTTATGGTACATAAAACCACACAAACATCATGATTGGACCTCAGAAGAAAAAATGAAATACAGTGCAAAAATAGGACATGGGCCCTTTAAAGGGTTGGTCCAGCCAAATATCAAATTTACACAAATTTAGTCTTTAATATGTGGTTTTTGGACAAACGTGTGGACAGAATTCAGGACGGCTGCTATGGCAGTATTCTTTTGTCCATGTTTATAAATAACAGTACTTCATACATACCACATAAGCAAATCTATTAGAGATTACCCAACTGTGTTATGATTAGACATGCAGTTTGCATGATGCTTATTGGTAGTTAAAAGCTTTTATTACTTGTCTACATTAACCTTGTAGCTCCAGTGAAAAACTCAAGAAGCAAAATTTGAGGCGTATCTTGGCTCGACATCATTTGGAGTAGTGGGAAAACTATGCTTTTGTGCCCAAACCTTCACTTTAAATTCACTCTAAGACTTTGTGTCCCAGTTCATGCAGAGCTGTCGAGGGTCTGATGGCGTGACGGAGTCCATGGAGCAGGTTTTGGACAGAGTGCTGAGCAGAGACTCACAGCACGTCCGGCCGCTCTGCTGCTTGCTGACCATGAGCCGGAAGAGCTTCCCGCAACTTTTGCCTCTGATTGAGGAGCTCAGCCACGCTGGTGAGGGAATCACTACAGTACTGCCGCACAATCATCTTATGCTAAAGTGAGCCAACATAATATGCGAGTCAGTTCACCAACATCCAGCACGACACAGCATGTTCATTGATATGTAACCAAAGAAGTTTCAAAATATTCCATTGGTTTGCAGTGTTCAGATCTTGATCTAGTGTTTCTTGAACTATGGGTCACCACACAGGGACGCTGTAAGTTGGTGGAAGATTGAGGCGATAACGAGGCCCTGAAGAGACGTTTTATTGTGTTTGTACTGTTAGTTAAGTACAGACTCAGCTTAATATTATGAGGATATTTAGGCTCAAAATATCCTACCTGCCATTTTAATCCTGGCAGCGTTTTCTGATTAGGTTAACAGGATATCCTGCCTACAGATTTATGTAGGGAGCTACTGATAAATATGCGCTATGTTAAGACATTTCAACAAGGTACGACAATTTGTCAGAACACTGGCTCTCTTTGGTGAACGTCAGCAGCCGCCTCACATTGAAGAGACGACTTTTTGTAAATTAGACAAAGCAAACAGGTAGATTTTATGACGCTGTAGCTGAAAATGAATTATTCTGGTTTGTCACAGGACTCCCCCCTGTTTTTCCTTGGAACGTTCCGGCTCCGCTCCCATTATCCTCAAACCCGCTGCTTGTTGTGTTAGTTTAACTCTGATTCTGTTCTTGGTGGTTGTAATTCTTAGCTGTGTTTCTGGATGTGCATCGTTCGTTCTTATGATTTCTGACTATTCCGTGCCTTTGTTGGTGGATTTGCCAGCTTTTTGCTCACCTTGTGATCCTCTCGAAATTCACATAGTGAAACTGCTCATCAACATCTAATTTATTAAGTTTTTAAAATAATACACAACACATTTTAACACCATAACATGTTATGGTTAATAAGAAAGTAGACTAAGGTTTTATTGAAGTCTAACTTGGCTAATTTTGGCAAAAAAAAACAAAAAAACGTCAGTGCTACTAAATGAAAAGCTGGTTTTGGACGTACTTGTAAGCTGAGCCCAGTGATCTGATTCACTAATAAGACCCCACCTGAACTCACCTGTGACATGTTTTTGCTGATTTTCCAAGTGACAGTAAGTTAAACCATTGTCTATAAATATAAAACACACTTAAATATGTTCTGCAAATTGTAGAGTACAACTTATTTCCTGAGTTTAACATATTATGAAAAAAAAACAATAAATACCTAAATATTTATTATTAAATATCTAAATAAATAAATGTCACAACTTTTGCATTGGCCGTTTTTTGTGTAATGTTTAATTCTTCGAAAAATATTTAAAAACATGTCATTTGATCAGGGATGCCCAGACTTTTGCATAGGACTGTAAGTTTTAAGAATGCACCTCTATTCTGGGCTGATGCTAATATTAAATATTTTTTGATATGCATCTGCCGATGCCGATATGTAATCATTTATAAAATGTACAAACTGGGATTAAATGTACCAGGATTAGCATTACAGAGAAATATGGCATTTAGATTAGGTTCATCTTTGTCATTGTGCAGAGTCCAGGTACAGAGCCAATGAAGTGCAGTTTCACTTCTAACCTGAAGTGCACAAAACAGTATTATTTACATATAAAGTGCAGGTAAGTAACCATAGTATATGATGCTGTGGTTACAATGTGTACAAATTAGGACACTAGAGTGGTTAAAAAAATACATATTGCAAGTATAAGTATAATATACATATAATAAACATCTGTCCAGTGCTTAGTTATTTTATGCTGCGTCATTTTATTTTCGAGGAAATATCTACTAATATTGATATGATTCCGAGATCATTGTGCATCCTTACTATTCCGAGATCATTGTGCATCCTTACTATTCCGAGATCATTGTGCATCCTTACTTGACCTTTCAAGTGGAACTTACTTTCATTCTTTATTTAAACAGTGCCAGAGCTTGCTGCACCTCCTCAGGCTTCAGGCTCAGATGAGGAGGAGGAGGAGGAGGAGGAGCGCAGGAAGACTGGAGTGAGGAAGAAAGGTGTGGTGGCCTCCTACAGCTGCCAGTGGTGCAACAAGAGCTTTGACTTTAAGTGTCGTCTGATGAGGCACCATAAGCGCTGTGCTCTGTCTCCGGGGAAAGCCCAGCAATGTCCAGACTGTTCTTTAAACTTTCCCTCCCTGACCGCCCTGCAGCAGCACCGCAGCAAGGACCACGGAGACCCCCCAGTCAAGAAGAGGAAGACGCAGCCCGTAGCCTGCGACCTCTGCAGCAAGATCTTTAAACACCCTTCGGGTGAGTGGACAGAGATGAGAGATGTCGATTATTGATGTCATTGCAATTTTTCTTCTGCATTAGCAAGTTAAAGATAATTAGAAGTGATTACATTTTGTTTTTCAGTCAGGTACATATTGTAGACTGATTAGACCTCTATAGAAAATATGGCCTATGTAAGTGCTTTTAAACGCTTTTAAATGCTTGATAAAATTATTTACTATTGCCAAAGGCGGCGGGCATGGGGAGTAATTCCTCTGGCGGCAGATTTTTTTCATCTCATTCAGGGGTCGGCAACCCAAATATTAAGAAGAGCTGTTTTGTCCTTTCGCCTTGGGAGCCACAACATTTTTTTGTCCATTTCCTTATGTAATGTTTTATCATCTTGGCTGTATACGTGTCTCAGTATGTGCTGATGTCCTAGTATAGACTAAAAATATAATATAAACGAAAACAACTTACTTTACTCTGCTTTAAGCCTTAGTTCAGTAATAACCACTTTTCTCGCATCTCAGGCACGAAACTTTTCCTCAAAACTACAACAGTTTTTGTAAAATGTCCCTCAACGTTTGACTTTTTATGAGACTGAAGTCGTTTCTCATTCACCAGCTTTGTGTTCAAATTTTCCTGTTCCACCTTAAATGGTGCCTGAGGTGCCAGAATGTAACTGCTGCACCATTTAAGGTGGAACAGGAGAATTTGAACGAGAAGCTGTCGAGCGAGAAACTGACTTCAGCTTCGTGACTTTTTAGTGTTTAACAGTTTCTCACTGCAGATTAAACATATTAGGAAACCAGATGGAGTGATCATAAAATAAGTATATAAGTCAATTCAAATCTCCAAATTACCGATGTTTGTCTTAAATCTTTCTCTTTGCCGTTTCGTTAGCTACTAGCTAGGCGAGAGTGTTGTCGTTACTATGGTGACCAGCAGTCTAAAGGAGTTCTACATTAACTCCAGCGTTTAAGACCATTTATTGTTAAAACTGTGTTGAACGATCAGCAGAGCTTTGTTTTACTGCATAGGATTATTTTATTGTTGTACTTTATGTTGTCAGCAACATTTAAAAATTTTAAATGGGGCAATCTAACCTAATAAAACTGAGCTTGTGAACTGCCTGTAGATGAGTTACACCAACAGAAGCAACCAAGCACCTATGTGATGTATGCATGACAACACAAGTGGCAGTGTGTCCAGCGATCAAGGTTCAAGCTAGAAAAAGAGGGTATTCTGGTTGTGCTGGTCAAAAAAAAGTCACAGTATTGCAAACAAGTATGGTAATATTCAGTACAGTGTGTACTTTTTTGTTTTGGCCTAAAATAATATTCTCAAGTGTATTTATTAGAAATTCGGGGGTGTTTATTTGTCTGTACGCTACCATGTAAATAGTTTCTACAGTCACATTTGTTAATTCTGACCATCAAAGTAATCATATCAAAGTAATCAAATCGCATCACATGATGTATTGATACTTCTCTTGAGGAAAGTAATTAAATCAAATCCTTGTGAGGTCAGAGGTTTGTTTACAGTACTCAGGAGTCTGCTTGATGTCGTGTTACAGGTTTGTTGTACCACAGACGCACGGAGCATTTGGAGGAAAGGCCGTACGAGTGCAAGGAATGCGGAGCCAAATTCGCAGCCAACTCCTCGCTGAAGAATCACATGCGTCTGCACACGGGGGAGAAGCCCTTCCAGTGTAAACACTGCAATATGAGCTTCGCTGTGGCCGCTGCTCTGTCCTACCACACAAAGAAGAAACACGCAGAGGGTATGACAGCCTGCACTGCACTACTACCAGAGTTTCTGTTAAGGAGACATGGTGTTTTATTGATATAACCCCAAAAACGTTCTATAGAATACATAACCTGCCCCCTCATCTACCTTAAATGGGTATTCTAGCCTGAAACTAGCCTTTAATATGTGATGTTATTTGTCATGTTTCGTAACATTCTGTTGCTGGCATTACGCAATTACATCATACAATCAGATGTAGAGGCTGATAAAAACAGCCATGGTATTCCTAGCATTCATGTTAGCTGACTTCCTTCTGCATTTGCCAGATAGTGGAAAAAATTCAAATAGCCAATCCTCAAATATACACCTTACAGTGTTTGCAGGTTCTCTCACCTTCAAGATGCATCATCAAGAGGTGGTTTTCCTTGTTTTTAAACAGAAAATTTGTTGCTCTAGTGTACATTTCTAATATCGGCTGGAGTGCTCCTTTAACTTTCACTCTCGTCTGTATCATAAGCTGCACATAACTTGCCCCTACATGTACTACACAGCAAAAAAAAAACAGTTTTAAAGGGCCAATATCTTATATTTTTCTGTTCTTCCTTTAAAATGTTTTCCTTAGCCAGTACATTTTTTTGCTGTGAATAATTAAACAGAATTTGTATTAAGGCAAATAAAGGCATTGAAATATCTCTTGACCTTCATGTTTGAACAGATTAAAGGGCCTATATTGTACATTTTTCTTGTATTTTGTTTTTCTCCCTGAGGCCCACTTATAACATTAGTGTGGCTGTTTGCATCAAATACACATAATTTATTTTTCCTAACAATTTCCAGCCTCTCTGTATCCCCTAGAATTAAACATGCTGTTTTTGTTACTGTGCCTTTAAGACATATGTAAATGAGCTTTGTTCTGATTGGCTGTCCTATATTTTCCCTCATTCAAAGAGTAGTCCAGTAGTCCAGAGTATATTTTTATACACACCGATCGGGCATAACATTATGACCACCTCCTTGTTTCTCCGCTCACTGTCCATTTTATCAGCTCCACTTACTATATAGGTGCACTTTGTAGTTCTACAGTTACAGACTGTAGTCCATCTGTTTCTCTGAATACTTTGTTAACCCCCCTTTACCCTGTTCTTCAGTGGTCAGGACCCCCATGGACCCTCACAGAGCAGGTATTATTTGGGTGGTGGATCATTCTCAGCACTGCAGCGACACTGACGTGGTGGTGGTGTGTTAGTGTGTGTTGTGCTGGTCCGAGTGGATCAGACACAGCAGTGCTGCTGGAGTTTTTAAACACTGTGTCCACTCACTGCCCACTCTATTAGACACTTCTACCTTGTCAGTCCACCTTGTAGATGTAAAGTCAGAGACGATAGCTCATCTGCTGCTGCACAGTTTGCGTTGGTCATCCTCTAGTCCTTTATCAGTGGTCACAGGACGCTGCCCACAGGACACTGTTGGCTGAATATTTTTGGTTGGTGGACTATTCTCAGTCCAGCAGTGACACTGAGGTGTTTAAAAACTCCAGCAGCACTGCTGTGTCTGATCTACTCAGACCAGCGCAACACACACTAACACACCAGCACCACGTCAGTGTTACTGCAGTGCTGAGAATGATCCACCACCCAAATAGTACCTGCTCTGTGAGGGTCCATGGGGGTCCTGACCACTGAAGAACAGGGTAAAAGGGGGGTTAACAAAGTATGCAGAGAAACAGATGGACTACAGTCTGTAACTGTAGAACTACAAAGTGCACCTATATAGTAAGTGGAGCTGATAAAATGGACAATGAGTGTAGAAACAAGGAGGTGGTCATAATGTTGTGCTTGATCGATGTAAATATGCCAGCTGTCATGACATCACAGAGACAGTTCAAAACGGGCCTACTTTCCATATTAATGTTCTGTGCAGCTTGGCTAATTTAGAAAAAGAAATGGAAAAATAGGCCCGTATGCATCATATTTCACACAGAAATATACAAACGTCATCTCTACAATATAAAATATTGCACATTTATATAAGATTTTAGAAGAGATTTGTGCATAAAACATGAATTTTGGCTGCTCTAAATACTAGGACCCCAGCCTAGAAATGACTGCTTACATTCTAGAGGAGTTCATATTAACATTCACAGTAAGCCGGTGTCAGTTAGTTTGGTGTAGTGTCTGGTGTTCACTGTTGTGGCTCAGTCTGAAATGCTCTTTGTTCCTGTCTCAGGTAAGATGTACTCGTGCCAGTACTGCTTGGCTACGTTTGCGCAGTCCATCGAGCTGACACGGCACGTGCGCACGCACACGGGTGACAAGCCGTACGTGTGCAGGGAGTGCGGGAAAGGCTTCAAACAGGCCAACGGCCTCTCGGTCCACCTGCAGTCCTTCCACAGTGAGTACACAACAAATGGTCATTAATGACTCATTAAAGGACCCATATTCTACATTTTTCTTGTATTTTATTTTTCTCCCTGGGATCCCTTTACAACATTTGTGTGGTTTTCTGTACCAAATTTCATGTTTTCCCTCCGTTTATCCCTTAGAGCAGACTGTTTTTGTTACTGTGCCTGATATACACTGATCAGGCATAACATTATGACCACCTCCTTGTTTCTACGCTCCATTTTATCAGCTCACTTACTATATAGGTGCACTTTGTAGTTCTACAGTTACAGACTGTAGTCCATCTGTTTCTCTGCATACTTTGTTAGCCCCCTTTTACCCTGTTCTTCAGTGGTCAGGACCCCCATGGACCCTCACAGAGCAGGTACTATTTGGGTGGTGGATCATTCTCAGCACTGCAGTAACACTGACGTGGTGGTGGTGTGTTAGTGTGTGTTGTGCTGGTCTGAGTGGATCAGACACAGCAGTACTGCTGGAGTTTTTAAACATCTGTGTCACTGCTGGACTGAGAATAGTCCACCAACCAAAAATATGCAGCCAACAGTGTCCTGTGACCACTGATGAAGGACTAGAGGATGACCAACACAAATTGTGCAGCAGCAGATGAGCTATCGTCTCTGACTTTACATCTACAAGGTGGACTGACAAGGTAGGAGTGTCTAATAGAGTGGACAGTGAGTGGACACAGTGTTTAAAAACTCCAGCAGCACTGCTGTGTCTGATCCACACGTACCAGCACAACACACACTAACACACCACCACCACGTCAGTGTTACTGCAGTGCTGAGAATGATCCACCACCCACATAGTACCTGCTCTGTGAGGGTCCATGGGGGTCCTGACCACTGAAGAACAGGGTAAAAGGGGGCTAATAAAGTATGCAGAGAAACAGATGGACTACAGTCTGTAATTGTAGAACTACAAAGTGCACCTATACAGTAAGTGGAGCTGATAAAATGGACAATGAGCGTAGAAACAAGGAGGTGATAATGTTATGCCTTATCGGTGTATGTAAATGACCTTTGTTCTGATTGGCTGTTCTGTATTACACCTCATTTAAAAACTGAAACACTCCTTATTACCTCAGCATGAATGGATGGGGCTAAATTGCTTGAAAGCTTAAAAGGCGGCTTTCACTGATGAGTAAATGTTACATTTTGAAACTTTAGCAGTGGACGCCTACTACATCACCCTCTTTTAACAAAGGGAGGAAAATGTGGTTTTCTATGATTGCAGATAAAAATGAGGGTAAACCGTCTCAATAGGTCATCACATTCACACAAGCACGCAGGCTTAACTACAATAAAGATGACCAAAATAGGACCCAAAAGAAAGAAGCAGACTGAGAGAGACAGAGAGTGAAAGGAAGAGAGATATGATCAAGCTTAAGGGGGGAGAGGGAGGGTTGAGTTCACCCTTGGTTACATCTTCATACAAATTATATGTAAATTAGACAAACCGTGCATACAGTTGCTAAGTTGTCATTACATAGCAGATCTAGTGCAGTGGAGACTTCTATTGGTTCACAAACATAACTGAACACTGTCATTGGTTAATCGGCAGTAATGTCCATGTGGGTCCTCATGTGCATCCTAGTGACGTCCATTACAGTCACGCTTAGACAAGTCCAAGACTTTGAAGGACCTTTCACCCACTTCCACAATGATGGAAGAGCTCAGCACCACTGCCATACGCCGCCCCAACAAGCATGGTATAGTCTGGAGATTGGCATAAGCAGCAAGCACTTATCTCCTGTTACGGTAACCTTCTCAGGAAATTATCACGCTCCAAGCACCACGTTGTCCATGAAGAGCAAACAAATGTATCACAGACCTCATAGACTCACAGAACCAAAAGAAATATAGGTTAACTTGCGCAAATACATTCTTAAAAAATACAGTATATGAGGTGGCAACACTACCTAATATGAATAGTAAAAACATAAAGGTATATATAGATATACCATCATTCAGCCTCCTAACTGACTGTGTAACATGTAGTCTCTTAGGCTACGTTCACGTTACCAGGTTGAAGTGGAATTAATCCGATTTTTTGCCCTAATGTGACTCAGATATGATGTTTTCAGAGCTGTGTGGACACACAAATCTGATCTTTTCAAATCCGACCTGAGCCACTTTAGCTACATTTTCACAAGTCTCATTGCTCAAATCTGATCTTTTGCTCAAATTCGATGTCTGACATGATGGTTCACACTCGTTTAGGTAAGTGACTCAAATCTGTCATTAATGTGAACGAACCGGCGTCCTGAAATGACCCGCATGCGCACATCCTACTCAGTAACGTCACGTGAATGAATCACGTGCGTCATCAGCACAAACTAACGAGCAGAACGAGCTTCACTGTGAAGATAACTAACTCTGATCAGCTCTCAGCTTCATTATTAGAGTGAGAGGAAGATGAAAAAGGTGAGATGTCCATATCCGATTTAGGACCGCATATGAAAGTGGCTTAGGTTGGATTTGAAAAGATCAGATTTGTGTGTCCACACAGCCCTGAAAACATCAGATCTGAGTCACATTATGGCAAAAAATCAGATTTGTGTCACTTCAACCTGGTAATGTGAACGTAGCCTTTCATATGTGGTCCTAGATCAGATGTGTATCCGATTTGTGGCCATGTGACCTTAATGTGAACGCTTAGATCGGAATTCATGTGCATTTTTCCACTGCACGTGTGTCATTCAGCGTTACCATGGCAGCAGCGCCAAACAGGCGTTAAAACCTGTAAACGGTCGGAAAAACAACATATCTGACTCTGTTCGCCTTTGTCCCACTCTAATAATGAACAGCTCAGAGCTGATCAGGGTTAGTTATCTTCGCAATAAAGGCTCGTTCGGCTCGGTAGTTTGTTCACTGATGACGCACATGATTCATTCATGTGACGTTACTGATTAAGATGTGCACATGCAGGTCATTTCAGGATGCTGGTTCATTCACATTAACGACAGATTTGAATCACTTACCTAAAGGAGTGTGAACCATCATGTCAGAGAGATCGGATTTGAGCAAAAAATTGGATTTGAGCAATGAGGCTTGTAATGTGAACGTTTAAAAGGTCGTACTTGGATGCTGCCGAAGTTAGTGTTTCTCTCAGTTAGGATTTTTGGGGTGCTACACGAAGCCTCTCCCCTTCTGAGAAAAGCACAGCCAAAGCAGTAAGACAGCTGGTGAAGGATGCTAATTTGTGAGTTAATGTTCACCACCGTTGAATTTGACTCACATTTTTTTCACGCATTAAATACATTCAGTTTGGAAGTCCAAAACCACTTTCCACTGAAATAAATGTTCGCAAAATTTCACTGGCAAGGACTTCTGAGTGGTTCAGCCATCTAGGCATTGGCCCAATCTTCAGGAGGTCGTGGAATTGATCCACTAGAGTCCAAGGGAGCATAATTCGTCCTCCCTCTCCCACATCACTGAGCACAGTGCTGGCCACTGGGGTCGTCTGTTAGCTGACATAACTGAATTAGCATTAGTGTTCTCCTCCAAGCGTGTTGAGCTGCCCAGTAGTCTTGTGTTAAGAAGCACATACTAGCTTTCACCATCTCAGCTTGGTAGCATAGGAGGAGACCTAGTTTACATTATAGACTATTATAGACAATACCAATCAGTGGTAAAAAGCCCTTTTCCCACCATATGAGAGAAATTGAAATTGTACCCATTCTGTTAATATCATCCGTAAAACTTTTCTCCGCATGTAAACACAGTAGCAACACTGTATATCTGTTAATCCTGTAGTGAATATACTAAAGCAGTGCTGACTGTGATATCTGTTTGACAGACGTTGCAGAGCCTCACGACTGTCAGAAATGTCGAGTGAGTTTCGGTTCGCTGGACGAGCTCCGAGAGCACATCCAGGAGGTTCATCCCAAAGAGCTGCACCAGTGCCCTGAGTGCAGCCGGATCCTCAGCACCGCTGCCCAGCTGGAGAAGCACATGAACATCCATGACGGCAGTAAACCCTACAGCTGCAAGAGCTGCCACAAATCCTACCAGGTCAGACAACAACGACCGCACCACACAGGAAACAACATGGCACAGGCCCACCCAAAATAGTCAGTGTTTGCTTCATCATTATTCAGTTTCTTAGCTGTGAATGGATGTTAGTTCTTCTTGGTCTCCCGTGTTTTATTGGGGTTTGACGCAGGTGTGTGCCTGGTGACGGGTTACTGAGCTACTGTGGTAACGCCCCCGGTGACAGTAATCTTAAAAAAGTATTAAATTAGAAACTAAAAGGGGCTGTTGCTGTGAAATCTCATTTCGTTGCTAAGGTCTTGCTACAGTATCCCTGGTTGTTAAGGTGTTGCTGGGCTGTTGCTATGTTATCCCAGCTGGTTGGTAAGGTTTTTCTCATCATTGTGTTATCCCAGGTGCTTGCTCGGCCATTGCTAAGATACTTGCTAAGGTGTTGCTAGGCCATTGTTATGGAATTCCAGGTGGTTACTAAGGTGTCGCTTGGCCATGTTATCCCAGATGGATGCTAATGTGTATGCTAATATGTATATCAGTCTATATACATTCTCTGTGAAGGTCATTTGTGTCTCTTGAAATTTTGCGCAGTTCCGACATTCATGTTTTATGGGCAAAAAGAAATCATGGCTCTACGATCCTAAAAAGTTGAAAACTGTGACCTATGAAAACAGTACCAAAAAGGGGAGACTAATCAAATGAAACACAGTAAGTTGGCTCTGTCAAGCCTACTTAATAAAAAGATAAAGCAAAGAAAAAAAAAAAAAAAATAATCCCTCAGAGGTCTGCGTCAAACCATCCACCACCAAAAGTGGTGGCTAAAACAGCAGTGACAGCATCTTGAAGCCTGAATTTTGTCCAAACTTATGTCCATGTTTATAGATATCAGTCCGTCATATAGTACCAGAGAGCATTTAATCAAGTCTATTAGAGCAGGGTTTCTCAACCTGTGGTCCACGGACCACCAGTGGGCTGCGAAGCACCCTGTATATGGGTCTGAATTCTGAGGAGGCGGTAGTTTACAGTGGGCCGGTAAAGTCAAAGTCATAAAAACATAAGTGGAAAACAATTAACTTAATGATGAAGAATCGAAGAAACAAACATTTTCAAATTGTAACCAATAAATGTACAAATAAAAACGTTGCAGGAGTGGGCTTTATTTGGTGCGTTTTAGCGTCTGTGAACACTCCACCCGTACTCGGGTCTGCAACAGACAGCTGAACTGTGGTCCAGAAAAACCCACGGTTCTCAGCCCACAACCAGACAAACGCTAGTTCACTGCTGATGGGAGCACGGTCTGTAATGAAACGAGGGACGTGATCAACAGAGCTTGATTTCCTCTCCTTCTAGCAGAACATCAGCGCTTTCAGCATAATCTGCCTGTTTTGATGTCTGACTCTCTACAGTCCCTCATTTGCTCCTGTTCCTGCACCACGAGCTGCTGTAAAATAAAATAATAGTGAAGATATGCGTTTGATTTTGGCTCATGGATCGGAACATATTTTTGGCCAAACATCAGCAACATGAGTGGTTAAAATGCAAATATATGTTTTTTAACATAACTGCAAATTTCACGACCTGTGATTGAACCAAATGGACGATCTGATCTTTTTCAGGCCCGGATTCTTAGGTTTTCAGTGTCAGCAATCAAGAAAATAATTTTAAAACTTGGTATTAGTTTTCCTGTGGGCCGCTATGCTTTGTAGTTCTAAACAGGTGGGCCTTGGGGTGGAAAAGGCTGAGAACCCCAGAATTAGAGATTACTTAACAGCTCAGTGGAGTTTGATGATTTGGGGATGCAGTTTATACAGTGATAGTTGGTGAAGTTTAGCGTTAGACTCGTCGCTCCAGTGCGAAAATAAAGAAGCAAACTTAAGACTCCAAACTGATCAGCTACATTTGAAATAGTGTGCCTGAATTGCGTAAATGCTACTTAATAAAGCCATTTCAGCAGATGCCTTATGATTCAGTTTTGCTGTATTCAAAAACTCTCTGGCCTGTGTGACAGACTCTCTCAGGGTTGTGGTACCACAATCGCACCACCCACCCGGACATGGTCACCGCGGAGGGCAGCAGACCTCTCTCGCACCTGCTGCGCTGCAAGATCTGTGACAAGGCTTTCTGCAACAGGAGCAGCCTGTTCAAACACCACATAACCAAACACCCAGGTGAGGAAGCTTCATTACTGCCAGGCTATAATGCTGTTTATTACAGTTTTATAACATAACAGTTCAGAAATGTTAAACACTGTGAATGTTTTCCTTAAAGAGACGCGCTCTGCTGCTGAAGAGCTGGATGAGAAGGAGACACAGGCTGGTAAATATGGGACGATTTTGCAGTTTGGCAAATAATGTTGCTGACCATTAATGGAAGCTTACTGCTAACTGCTAGCCTAGTAGCTTCTGTTCATTGTAAGATAATGTTCCAATAAGCCTTCCATTGCATTGATGCACAGTAATATCAGCAGATATTGACTGATTTGCCAGATTGATATGTGATCGATATGTGAGTCGTGCTGAAGAGCTGAATGTTTAGGTTATGCTGCACTAAAATGTCTGGATTTTATTCATTTTACTGTATTTGTAAGCCTCTAAAAATAAACAATATTTCTCTTAGGGCTGAAAGATTAATTGTTTTTATATTGAAATCACAATTTTTCATCATATTGCTGCAATATTTCTTATAGTCTGTTTATTCTTTACTACATTTTCAACCAGCTTATCTGATGTTTTAAGTGTGGAAATTTAACCTTATAGCACAGAGTTTGTGAACCTCCTGTAGATGAGTTGGACCAGTGGTCAGAGCACTGAACTGAGCTGGGAACCAACGAATAAGACCAGTTAGAGCACATGTGTCAGGCTCCGGTCCTTGCAGGCCGAAACACTGCAGACTCAGCTCTTTAGCTAATTAGCAAGGCCCTCATGAACTGAATTCAGAGCGTTAGATGAGGGTAAACGCTAATCTCTGCAGCACTTTGGCCCGGAGATCCCCAGTTTGACATGCCTGAGTAAGAGGCAACCAAGCACCCATGTACCATACATGGGACAACAGAACATCACAACAAAACTGTCAGTCTGCCACAGGATGTTCAGCTTTCAAGCATCAAGCAAGAAAAAGGGGATTTTCTGGTCTTCTGGTCAAAAAGAACCCTAGATTTATCAAGACTTTAATTTATAGAAATAATCACTATTTAAATTACAGTCACAATATTGGTAAGAAAAGTCATCAATCTCTTCTCTAATGATAATCCAGGGACACAGTCCCAGTTCCTACATTATAAGCATGTATGTATCAGCATCGGCAAATATGCACATGAAAAATAGCAGATATTGATACAAGCCATTGATATGTGTTCGTTAGAGCTTCTCTGAAGATTCTTGGCTGGAAATGTTCTTATTGTTTATTTAATATCCCTTCTGTGCTTGTCTTATTCCCAGGAGCCTCGCTGTGGAGGTGTCCGTATTGTCCATGTGTAGTGGGCAGTGAGCAGGAGTTGCAGCAGCATGTGTCCAGTGAGCATGTGAGCCAGCAGGGGTCCGTGTTTGGCTGTGTGGTCTGCTCTCTCACCTTCCCCTCCGAGGCTGAGTTTCAGCATCATTTCCTCACCACACACCTGCAGGTCATCCAGGAGGAGGAGTCCACCCAAATGGTAACATGTCCAGCTCTAGTTTGTGTTGACTTACGGTTGTATTCTTTTTGCTAAGCTAACCTACATGCTTACGTGGTAATTATCATAACTAACCGGTTACTCTGACCAGTTATGCTTGTAGCTAGCTTGTGCCTGTAGTCAGGTGAGGACTACACCAGTCTTCCTGTCCATTTCAGTCCACTCTTACACTATCTTGGTGTGAAGTTTGTGCTTTGAGCTCAGCACTGACACTCCCACATTTCAGGATGATGACTGTAGGGTGTCTGTATGTAACTGCTTCAGCAGATATGATGGAACACATCATATAGTGTTTCGATTATGTCATGCAGTTTTACTGCCACAGTTTTGGTAGCACACATTTTGGCAATGCAGGGGCTGTTGTAATGTTTGCAATGCTATAAAGCCATAGCTGATCCAGCAAAGGTAATAAAACACGTTTTTTAATACTCAGTTTGAATGTAATTTTTTTAAAAGCATATATTTGAGTGTATTGCTTTGATTTGATTTTATTTGTCGCTGTAGTGATAAATGAAAGCTGGAATGTAGGAGATTTTTGTGTACATATAGCAATACACAAGTTTTTCGATACGATATGTTGTTTTTGCATCCCTTTATGATACATTTTCAACATAGAATAAGAACAGAAATGCTAACATCTTGTATTTATTTATTTATTCAGTTATTTTAACTGTATATTTTTATTTATTTAACTGTCTATATAAAATGTAAACTATAATGTTGCATATAAATATGAGCATTACAAGTTAATTTACAATCCGATCTTGCGTTTTATGTATAAAGAGTGGCTAAAATGAGTGAAAGGGAATTTTCTTAAATGTGGCTCAATCACTCTCAGCAAACTGCAGAGGCCACAACTGAATAGAGGTGCAGGTTAGTAGCTATTAACGTCCATACGGAGTGAGTTATTTGTTGCACCCAGTTTAGAATCAGAGAATGTGGGGAGAAGTAACTACTTTTTTCTCCATGAGGCTGAAGTTGGCTCCCTATTCACTATTTTCTTACTTACATTTTCTGTTCCACCTTAAATGGAGCTGCTCCATTTAAGGTGGAATGGAAAATCTGAAAAGAAAATAATGAGAAAGCTGGGTAATTTTTCTCTCACTCCTGTTACTGGCACATTGGCGTGATGTCTTCAGAATGGTTGAAGTAAAATGGATGAGTGAGGGAGATGTTCGACTGCTTCAGGGCACAGAAATATACTGCCACTAGTCTCCTGCAGGGGTTTTAGTGACATCCCCCAAAAGTGGCCAACAGTTGGAGAGGAAAACGTTCAACTTTCCTCTGAAAAGCAGCATCAACAATGCACGTCTACTACAAACAGCACACATGGGTCTTTGCTATGCTCAACATATTTAAAAGTTCCGTTCTTCTGTTTTTTTTAATCATTTTTAGCAGGTTTGTAATTAAATATTTCTGATACCTGGGGTGCTGCAGCTCCCTCAGCACCCCTACTTTCCGCATCCCTGGAAAGAACAGTGTGTATTGGTTCAAACGACAGTGGGAGAATATGGGATCTGTTATGAACTGTAGGTGAACTTATTGACCTCTAGTTCAGTTCTTCTCTTTTGGCTCTCATAAAAAAATGAATCAGTGGAGTTATTCTACATATAAACTGAAAATATACTGACATTAATTGCAGTTCAAGTGCATATATATTAACTCTAGTTTTTAAATTGAATGTATATGTAGATTTTTAGAATGTATTGCTGGAATTAAAATAGCTATAATGGAGATCTTATAAGGGAAAGGCAGTTTTATAAGGAGGATGATGGGTGTGGGTGGATGGTGTCTTCTTTGCATCCCAGTCAAATTGAGCTCTTCTCCTTGATGTATAGTGGTGCTGAAATCACGCTATGAAAAGTAACAACATTTATAACTGTGGCAACCTGAACAGCTAAAAACATAACAGACAAAAAACATGATTCCACACACACTGCAGTGTTGATACATTGCAGCAGAATCATAAAAAATGTTTGGAAAGTGAAATAAAATGGCACCATTTTGGCAGTTTAGTATGTTCCCCGTCGCAACGTCTCCAATTCATCTCATCTGCTTGTTATCACAGGCCTGAATGTCTCATTAACTTCAGCAGAGACAGCAGGGTGCCTCTGACTCTGCAGATACAGATCATAGAATCATAGAACATTTTATTGACTTGCTCCTCTTCCAATCAGGTGATCCAAGCACAAGACACCTCAGCTGAGGGGGCGGAGCAGATGGAAGGGCTGGACCAATCACAGCTGTCCGGCTCTCAGCAGGTGTTTGTTGCCCTGGGCGATGACGGAGAGTCGGCAGCTGGCTCAGGAATCGTCGCGGTCAATATGGAGGACTTGTTGGCGGGCAGAATCGCGCTGATCTGTGAGGAGAATCCATAGAGCTGCGTTTACACCACGACTCATCTGTTCTATCCAAATCCACAACCTCATGTTTTAAATTCTGAGCCTCTTATACAGCTGTATGCAAACGTTTGGGCACCTCTAGTCAAATTGCATATTTTGTTGACATCCTAAGTGATAGTAAGTCAACACATCCTCTACAGAGAACACACGTCTGCACATTTCACACACAGTTACTGTTTATTTACTGAATTTAACATATTGGGAAAAAATTAAATGTAACATATGGCCTGTGCAGAAGTTACGCCACATTTTAGATTTTGTATTTTATTTTTCCCAATATGTTAAAATAAATAAGTAGAAATTGTGCAGAAAAATGTCAAATTTAAGTGCGTTCTCTGAAGAGAACGTGCAGTTTGACTGGGGGTGTTGAAAGTTTTGCATACAACTGTACAGGTACAGACATTTCAACATGTTTATAGCTTTTTTAAAACATATGCTCAGAAAATCATGTGGAAATGAGTAAATAGTGTTCAGACGTCATTAAACGCTGCAAGAAATGCTCTCTTGGCAAGTGAATGCGTTTGAAATGCAGACAGTAAATCTAATATTAGTCATTATGACACTTTACTATTATTATTATTATTATTATTATTATTATTATTATATTAAAAAAATACAGTTAGAATGTTTTCGTGTTTAGGGCTTGTCGGAACACACTTCTGCACAAAAATCACCTGAAAAGAACAGATTCCAGACATGAAACACTGCAAAAACAGTGATGTTGGCCATTAAAACAATCTGAAATGTAGACAGTATAATTCTTCTCATTGTGACGTTGTTGTGCATAACATAGTTATGAATCTTATTACTAATTCTTATTTTTTTGCTTCTTCTCCTTATTATTATTACTATTATCATCAGTGATAATAACGATAATATTTTTCAACCTATTCTGAAGCTTAAAACTGTCTTGAAATTTTTGTCTGAACCTGAAAACAGACAGAGAATTTTCTGTCTTAGTCCACCCCGACAAAAAGAATCATGTTTTGAGTGTGAACCCAACTCGAGCCCGACAAAATTCTGTCTGAAACTGACCCGACCTGAGCATGTTGATCGTGCTTTGAGTCCAAATCTGAACCGAGTACAACACAGTTCTGTCTGAACCGACCTAAACACATCAAGATTCGAGTCCAAACACAATGAATGAGTACAGCAAAATTCTGTCTAAAACTGATCGAAACTGGTCCATTTTTACCCAAAGTACAGAATAAAACTTGACAGGACCGCTGATATATATAATATATGACACAATATAAAATAATATGCTATAATATAATTCAGTTATAATTTTAAGTTTCATTTTGAACAGCATCTTAACCTGAACTGACCCCGGCACATATTTAAGAAATGACATCTGAACGTTCAGACAAATATTTCAAGATATTCGGATTATTTCTAGTCCTTTTAGCTTTTATAAAGTGATCTCACATAAATTAATTTCACCACATTGGCTGTTCAGTGGATAATTTCACCTGATAGGAGCACTTAATCTGTAAAAGTAGCGTGAAAATGTCGAGGATTAGGCTGAATATTAGTACAACCATCTCATAATGAGAAATCCTGCCCACACTTGTATTACTCAGTCCAGATGCTTTCACTTGCCAAGATATCATTTTTTTGCTGTGAGTAATTAAACAGCAGTGGAAGTAAGACTAGACCTTCATAGTGGACCAAACTAACTTTTTGAGTCTATATTTAAGTGCCCAGTATTCAGTGAGCCATCGTTGTGCTGACAGTGAGCTTATGATTTCATTATAGTCTCAGAAAAACTTTTGTTAATGAACCTCAACAATATATGGTACATATTTTAGTCATCTCTGAAGTTGTGTCTCTAGAGCAACACTGATATTTATTTATTTAATAAAACCATCGCAGGTTTTAATACTTACAAATATTGAGTCTGCTTTGTGACATATTTTAGTATATTTCACTCATAAAAAGAGTTGGTACAAAAATGAATCACCGTTATTTAGTAAACTGAAGCTGTACAAAGAAACACACAAATGAAATGAAAAGTTTAAATCAAAATAGAAAAAGAAAGAAAAATATAAAGTGGGCGTTTTTACTAAGTTGTCTGAACAGCCGGATACTTGACGTTGAGTGAACACACCCCCAATTAAATGACCAGTTAATCAGATACATTCCGATTATAGATTAAGACTGAGGTGCTGAGGTGTTTGCTCACTCTATTCAACAATCTGATAGAAATCTGTTTACATGCGTAATCCAGTCAAAATTACGTGCATGCGTAGAGCACTGCTTAGTGTACATGTTACCGTGACAACAAGCATCACGTCCAGTCAGAGTCAGATGAGCAGCAGTGAGCAGTGCTTGTGTTTTTAATTACTTTAAAATGATGTCAGACTCAGGAAAACAAACTTCACGTTTCCTTATTAAAGGAGGCCGAGAGGAAGATGTCGTGTTCTGAGACGCATAAGCTGGACGTCCGTCCCACCGCCGTCTTTTAAAGATCAGAGCATAAACTTCGTCTCCTCTGCAGACCAGTTTCTGCTCCGCCATGTTGAATGTTATAAACTTTCGCTATGACGTGACGCACATGATCAGAATATACTTAGACTTTCTGATTGGGAATGTAATCAGATACAGGCTTTTACACTGATATTATTCTTCTATTTAACAGATTATTTACAGGATTACCCACCTCATTCAATCGGATAGAAATTGTATTCCGAGTGGCCTCAATCAGACTAGTCTAGTCTGATTGAGGTGTAAACATGGACGTATTCTATTCCAATTGAGCTACTAGTCGGATTATCAGGCTGCATGTTCCTGTGTAAAGCATGTAGCTTCACACAGGAAAACTAATAATAGTTAATAGTATTGTTGCATTTCAGCCACAGTTATATTGACCTGAGACACATCAGCAGCTCCCTTTAGCAATGGGAGATAATAATACAGGTAAACATTGTTAACTAACATGCAACACCTATACAGGGCTGTGTTCCCATAGCTGTATTCTTATGCAGCAGTTTTCTGGACACACCAAAAGCTTTAATCCTGGACTGGCAAACTATTCATTCACTAATGACACAGTACCTCGAATTTTGTACCAATTCATGAATTATGTATTATGGAAAACCAAATTTTCCTCTTTTTTCTGAAATAAGTTTGAACGAGGGCGGCACGGTGGCGCAGCGGGTAGCGCTGTCGCCTCACAGCAAGAATGGCCTGGGTTCGATTCCCAGCTGGGTGACCAGGGTCATTTCTGTGTGGAGTTTGCCTGTTCTCCCCGTGTCTGCATGTGTTTCCTCCGGGTACTCCGGTTTCCTCCCACAGTCCAAAAACATGCAGTCAGGCTGATTGGACATGCTGAATTGCCCCTAGGTGTGAGTGTGTGACTGTGTATGTCTGTCTGTCTGCCCTGCGATGGACTGGCGACCTGTCCAGGGTGTGTCCTGCCTTCCGCCCAATGGCAGCTGGGATGGGCTCCAGCACCCCACCGCGACCCAGAAGGATAAGCGGTTTAGATGATGTATGTATGTAAGTTTGAACGAGTATATTGCAGAATGTACTTTTCACTCCCCAATCCATACAGTCCATATATGGAAATTGCAAAGGGGTCTAGCCCACATAACCATGTTATATAATATCCAAAACCACCAGTGAACCTCTCCATGCATCTTCTGAGTTTTTATATGTAATGTTGATGATGGTAAAATAGTAGGAAATTAGAAAAGACAAGTTTTCTTTGGGGACTATATTGCCTTACAACACTGTGCATGCACCTCTATGCCATGTATGTATTTAAAAATGTGTTTGAGGCCAAAATCTTATCTCAAACTATCATAAAACAATGTGTATTTATGACCATTTAATGTAATAACTTTCTGGGAGGGAGCTTTTAGAGGTGGACATCTGGTTCCTATCACCACCACTGTGAACAATTCTGACTCTGTAAGTTTCTCTAGAACAGAGCATTTCACACCAAACCACTCTGAATGACTTTGTTTACATTTTAGTCATCGAATTATCCAGAAATTTTGAAAAAAAAAGGGTGGAATTCTCCTTTGAAGGGCCATTTAGCCGAGTGCTTGGCTTAATCTGCATTCAGAAAAGCTCATATTCATTAACCACAGAATACAGTGAAAAAGAAATAGTGAAAGGCTGAAAGGTTAATGTGCAAAGTTCACTGGAAACGGACACTCCACCACTGGAAATCCTTTTTAATCCAGGAATAATCTCAGGAAAAAAACTGGACATGATATAAATAAGGATACAAGAAATATGCAACAAAATAAATGCCATGTCAACACAGTAACGTAGTCAGTAATGTAAAACTCAGCCCAACTGAGACGACCTGCTAAATAAATATGATAAACTGAAGAAAAAAGCTGAAAAATGGCTTTAAAAATAGTGTCTGTCAGGTCAGGTACCGTGTCCAGTTAACAATACATCCCTTACATCCCACAGAGACTCAGAGGACTTACATTACATGACATTTAGGATAAAATTTCAGTGAGCTTTAATGCTCAGAGGCGTCGGGTGAGATTTCGCAAACCACGTCACCTGTATAGGCTCAAAATGAACATTATACTGATGAAGGTCTGATGACGATAGTGGGTAATTCACTCACATCCTCAGAAAACACATCCTTCACCAAGTTTGACTGAGTTCTCTTTGAATGCTTTCAATGTGCTCACAGATATCACATTCACTGCCTGTTGGGGTCCAAAGCACAACCCATGTTATCAGATATTCCTCCACATATCATGTGCAGTTTCACATTTTCACCAGAGAGGTCTCCAAATCCCCAAATATTACATAGAGTAGCTTTAAACAAGCATCAATCCATAGTTTATAAACAGCCCATAAACCCTGACCGAATAAAGCATATAGAGGTTATTGCTCCTCTGTGGCAATCAGGGATTCCTGCCGCTGTAAAGTGCGCTTTAAGGCGAGACACCACAGGCAGAAACAACCGTTTTTGGATAAGAAGAGATCTACAGCGTCCTAAACTGTAATCATAAAATGTCACAACTCAGCTGAAGTACATTTATTTTGCTGTGTTGTGTAAATTCCTGCTCACTAACTTTAAAGTTCCTACCTTTTGGAAGGTAATGGTTTAGCTCCGCCCACACTAGCACAACCACGTCAAGTCACATATCACTGAAAAGCTTGTTTTGTGTAGAATCTAGAGAATATCTAAATATGTCTGTTCCCTTTGTAGTAATAACAACATCTCCATACGTGGTGTGTTTTCTGAGATCTCACTGCGTATTCTTAAAATAATTTTTTTCAAAATCAGTTTTTCTTTACGTTCAGGTTATAAATTACCTGCATTCTTGAACGTTTGTGTAAATTCCTACCACTGTTCTGGAGAATAATATGAAGATTATGTAATATATTGCTCATAGCTGCATTTATGGCTGATTATGTGTAATGCTCCAGAATAGGGGATATTATAATGCCCTTATAATGCACATATTAAGCTTTAACAAACCAGTGGTTGGTAGTTAACTGGCTGATTATTACTACATTATTTAGCATTATGTGTCAATAAGGCTTAACAAGAGCATTACGAGTGCTCTTGAAATGCTTAACTGTGTATTAATAAGCTGCCAGTTAATTACAACGACTTATGGCTTAATAAGTGCTATAAGGGCATTTTAACGCCCCCCCAAAGCTGAAGTGTTACCAGATTATCTATATACAAAATGATCTGAAATATAAACAATTTAATTACATTTTTTTAATTACATTTTACAGATTTTTTTTATTTTAGTCCAAAACTAGATTTTTGTTTTTAAAAATATTTCACATTTAAATTTAACATTTTTCAAAATATGCAAACGTATGCATATTTAAGTAGATAATGCCTGATCTGTATATCTGAAAATCATTTTTGGAAAACTTCCAATAAAAAAAATAAAAAAAAAACGCTTCACTGTGCTGTGATGACCCTGTTCACCTGTAGTGTCTCTCCTTAAATGAGTACCATTTCCATCAGCGCTAATGAGAACAGGCCAGAGGATAAAACAGATAAACGACTGATTAGGAAGCTCAAAAACACAGACACAGGGCAGCTCATCTGCACTGCAGAGCACAAATCATCTAGACAGCTGCATTGTTTTACACTCCAAGCGCATCACACAAACCCAAATCAGCTGAAGTAGCATGTCTTTAAGCAGTAAGTACAGAAGTAAGTCATGATGAAATGTGCAGTCACGTCTTCACAGGGAACATACACTGCCCATCAAAAGTTTGGGGAAACGTGGCCTACTTCGAATTTTTTTGAGTACTGTTTGAGTTTTATTTACAGAACAGCTCTACGTGATGGGTATATTTATCTTCACCTTCATGTTCAACAAAGTCTCTTCCTTGTTGGGAAGAGCAGGTTTCCTAAATAATGACTGGACAGTTGTTGTTTCCAAACTATTGTTAAAAGCACTTATGTGAAAGTTTTGAACACGTCATCAAATTACACGTTTTAATGATTTCCGAATTGAAATTTAACACGTCCTCTACAGAGAAGACTGACTGACACATGACTCTGTGGCATTTTTCTGCTGATTTTAGAGCACAATTTCTGTTTATCTGCAATGGTGAATCTGTTGGCAACGTGTGCCATAACTTTTGCATTTGATTTTTACATTTTTTCCCCCCAAATTCAGCAAATAAACAGTAACTGTGTATTAAAACGTGCAGTAGTGTGGTCGCTGTAGAGGATGTGTTCACTTATTTATGCTCAGAAAATCAACCAAGCGTTATTTGACCAGGGGCGCCAAAACTTTTGCATATGGATATTTTTGCATGACTATTTACTGTTTACATTACTGTCCTCTAAATTAACCTGCTTATTGCAAACTGACAACGAAATCGTAAAGGATTCACAATAGTAGTGGTTAATTTTGGATAATATTGGAATCATATCGATATCGGTAAGAAACGACATCGGACAGACGTTGAGACTTGACCGATATTTCAATCCAATGTTAGATGATTTTGTTTACACTTTGGAAGACCAGCATGTTTAGGGGATGCTGGGCTACTGCGCTTAAATATCTGCATCTTATTCATGTCAATGCATTTGTTATTGTATAGAAACAAATTTAATATCTTATATATTATATTTACAATAATAGTAAATAAATGCAGTGTCTAAAAATGTTTATGTATCAGCATCAGCAGATTTGTACATGAATGATATTACCTTCAACCCACAATTCCCACATCAGTGTGTCACCGTAAATCAGTGTGTGTGTGTTATATGCGAAAGTTTGAACACCCCTGATAAAACTACACATTCTGTTGATTTTCTAACTGAAAATAAGTGAATACCAGTGAAAGTGAATTGGCCAGGGGCGCCCAAACTTTTACACATGACTATTTATGCAGTATGTGCTCATTTGAATTTTGAACAGCTAGATGTTCCCAAACTTTTGATGGCCGATGTATATCAATATTAGGCCACAAATGCCGCCCACAGTGCTGCCGATGTTACGTGTGTAAATGAATGAGAGTCTAAATGGGGCAGTTTGTGTTGTGACTCTGCTTCACGTCGTGAGCTTCTTCTTAGGCAGGAAGGAGTTTGTGATTTGGTTCATCACCACCAGCGCGGGGAACAGCGGCAGCAGCAGGAAGCCGTACCACGTCGCTCCTTTCACCGCGGCCTGGAACCAGTCCGTAAACATGGCCGCCACGACTGTGATGGTGGCCAGCAGGTAGGCCACCAGGCCACAGGTGGCGTGGTAGAGGCGCAGGCGCGGCACGGACGAGATGCCGAGGAGTTTGGGGAAAAGCAGGCACACGCCACAGATCGCCTGCAGCGCTGTGGCCGCCAGAGTGGCTACACCCAGTATGCTGTGCCACGAGGCCAGGTGGGGGCGCCCCGACACGTTCTTACTGGCCACCATGAAGCCCAGGCCGGTGGCGGCGGACAGCAGCATCAGAGCCTGCAGGATCCAGTGCACACGGATCTTCCCTTTGCGGGACTTGAAGCAGAACGGGGAGCCGTCGGCCGAAAACAGCAGGATCCCCTCCGTCATGCAGAGACAGAACTAAAGAAGGGAAAGGGAGAGAGAGAGAGAGAGAGAGAGAGAGAGAGAGAGAGTGTGAGTGAGTGAGTATGTGAGGGGTCACACAAGTCTAGCGCAGTTTAGTGTTGATAAGCTTGACCATTTGCATGTGATTCAGGGAGGAGGGAAACAAGCATAAATCACAGTCATGCACAGGGACTGGCTGGACAGTCCTGGTCTGGACCGTCTTAAAGGGAAAGCTGGGAAAAATTTTAGTGGTATGTAAATATTGTTTTAAAACGTTTCAGTAAAAACGGTCCATATAGTTAAACTGAGCTGCAAAAACAGCCAGCTAATTAGCATTTTTGTGAAAAATTACATTTATGTCTATTCAGCCTATAGCAATTTAGCCCCGCCCCCTCACACTATAATACCAGTATACCAGAATTTTGACTGTGATATCAATACCAAACATAGCATCACAGTGCTGAATACCAAACGATACTATGGCAAAAACACTCAGTCTGAACACTTAATGTTTAATTGATTGAACAAAGTAAGAAATGGAACTTTTAATAAACAATCTGATTTTTAAATTCAATAACTTCCGTTAATCAATACCAAAATCTGCAAATGTTAAATAATCAATTATCATTATTGTTGTTTTTGATAATAGTAATAATAATAATAATAATAATAATAATAATAATAATAAGTGGTACAGAACCTTAGCATTAAGTGCTGGTTCTTTAAAAACAAAAAATTGTATTTTCATTTACATTCCATTCACAAAAATGATTTACTTTGAAAAAAAACATTTATTAAAAGGTTCTTTAAGGTACCAAAAGGTGTTATTCTATAGCCTCACTCCAAAGAACCCTTTTAGCACCTTTATTTTTAAACACAAACCTGGTGCTAGCTTGTTTAAATAAAGAATTAAAAGTATGAGGCGAACAACAAAGAATAGATTTAAACTGTTAATATCCAAAAGTAAAAGCACAAACAGAATTCAGGCTTCAAGATGGCTGCTAGTTGTGTTTTCAGCTATGGAATGTACTTTTGTTCATATTCATAAATAAAAAGTCTGTCATACAGAGTCAGAAACCACAGTCTTTTTGAAGTTACCTGACAACTCAACATGGTTTGAGGTGAATTTGTGATAATAGGCATGCAGCACGATGCTAATCGGTGCACATAAGCTTGCATTACTTATTAGCTAAATTAGCCTTTCAGCAAAAATAGAAACAATCAGACAACAAAGTAACATCTAATACAGAGCCTAGCTTAGAGCATCAGGTTAGGTCAGGGGTCGGCAACCCAAATGTTAAGAAGAGCCATTTTGTGCTTTCAACAAAAATCTAACCACAACATTTTAGATCCGTTTTACCATCTTGGCTGTAAATATGTCTCAGTATGTGCTCATGTTAGTGTAATGTGTAATGAACGTAAGGCTAACAAATATAATATAACCGAAAACACAGACTTACTTTGCTCTGATTTAAGCTTTAGCTCAGCTATAGCTGCTTTTCTCGCATCTCCAGCAGGAAACTTTTCCTCTAAAGTGGAATATTTTCTTGTAAAACGTCTCTCGACGTTTGACTTTTTTTGGCTATGTTCAGCTTCTCATTCAACAGCTGCTTGTTTGAATTGTGACACATCATATCATAAAAAAACTTTCTGAAGTATTGTGATATTACATTTTGCCATATCGGCCAGCTCTACTGAATGCTAACATCACACAGTCTCCTTTAATATCTCTGCACAAAGAGAACTGAATTGTGGGCCAAAACGTTTCATTAGTGAGTTTAATTCAGTTCAGCTCTGCCAAAAAACATAAGAATACCACAAATGTGACGGCGTCATTCGGCCCTAAAGACACTGTGGATCACCGTCTGCCAGGGTTCGATTTATTGGCAGCTTCTTGTCAGCCAAAGCCAAAGCCCCTGCAGTCTGAATGCGTCTCAGTGCAAACCAACATCCTTTATCTGTCACAGCGAACAATGGTTCCTCACAGGACAGAAGGACATTGTCTATAGATGAGGAGAAGCACAGTCTCCCCACACTGGCCACAGTATCACTGCTATGGAAAAGTCCATCACACCACCCAGTGTCTCTGCGTTCCAGGTCAGGCGTAACTATATACTGTGTGGTAACCTGCCGAGGGGGGCATGCAAGCCTAATTATTTCAGTACTCCGCCGTGTACTATTCATTATTCAGCACGGCGATGTATTATTCATTTACTGCCTCGAGGCTCTGAGCCAGTTACAGACGCATCATTCTTGAACAAAAGCGAACAAAAAGAAACGGAGCTCTGAGTTTCTTGCGACTGAGCGAAGAGGACAGGGATTTCATTTCATCATATGAAAAGGGCACAGAAGGTTGTGTGGAGTTCAGTCTGGGTTAATGAGCTGGAAGTGAAACAGGAGTGTACTTTGGGAACTTTTCACAACAGATAACATTTCATATTGTAGTCATATGACTAGATAAAGCTGATATAACTCACAATATATCAAAATACTAGCGCTGTTGCCTCACAGCAAGAAAGGCCAGCGTTCGATTCCCCGGCCGGGCAACCACAGTCCTTTCTGTGTGGAGTTTGCATGTTCTTCCTGTGTCTGTGGGTTTTCTCCCACAGTCCAAAGACATGCAGTCAGGCAAATTGGAGATGCTAAATTGTCCCTATGTGTGAGTGAGTGTGTGAACATACACCAATCAGGCATAACATTATGACCACCGCCTTGTTTCTACTCTCATTGTCCATTTTATCAGCTCCACTTACTATATAGGTGCACTTTGTAGTTCTACAGTTACAGACTGTAGTCCATCTGTTTCTCTGTATACTTTGTTAGCCCCCTTTTACCCTGTTCTTCAGTGGTCAGGACCCCCATGGACCCTCACAGAGCAGGTACTATTTGGGTGGTGGATCATTCTCAGCACTGCAGTAACACTGACATGGTGGTGGTGTGTTAGTGTGTGTTGCGCTTGTGTGAGTGGATCAGACACAGCAGTGCTACTACAAAGTGAACCTATATAATAAGTGGAGCTGATAAAATGGACAGTGACCGTAGAAACAAGGAGGTGGTCGTAATGTTATGCCTGATCGGTGTATATGTATGTGTGTCTGTCCTGTGATGGACTGGCGACCTCCCCGGGGTGTTTCCTGCCTTCCGCCCTGGGATAGGCCCCAGCACCCCCGTAACCCAGGAGGATAAGCGGTTTAGAATGAATGTATGACACTAAGTTCACATGCACAGTGCATATGACTGTTATTCCATTAAAACAGGCTGTTCCCCTGCATGGCCAGCACAAAACCAGCAAGCATTCCATGTTTTTACTGATCTGGTACGGGTTGAGTTTGTCACCCAGCATGGTCAGGCTGGCCGGCCAGCATACCAGTATCCAAAACACAACATATGCTGGTTTTGGTGGTGGTCTATGCTGTTTCTTCTAGCAGGGTTGTCTGCCGTCTGTCTCAGTTTACAATTACATTAGAAGTTAACCTTGTGAGAATCTCACCTCAGCTACGTCGCTACATGTACAAGTGGATGAACAGAGTTTAAGAAATGACTGCTGTACACCGTTCTTTGTTATGCAGTTCTCAGTAAAGGTTGGTGCTCTATGACAACATTAATATGTGGACATTTAAAAAATATTTCTATTGATTATTTCTTGTACAGTTCATTGTGTACACTACCTGCACAGTACAGCTATTATAAAATAATATTCAGAGTGTAGTATATTACATTGTGCATCGCTAGAACTTACCCCAAGTGACATGCAGAGAGGGTGCCAAGAAAAGAGACCTGCAAATAAACAAAAATTCAGTATACAAAATGCATTTATATCACTGCATAGGCCAATTGCAACATATCATGAAACCAGTGGGCAATTGTCAACTTTAAAAATCATTTAAAGAACATCATGTCTGTAACTTTTAGTTTATATGAATTTAATAGACTCAATGCTTTTTGTATTGGGGTAATACTCTTCTTTTATTATGAAGATTGTGTCAGAAACAAAGGGCTTAAAAAGGCTGGAAAAGTATCCAATCAAGATTTTTTTCCCCAGAGTATCTAGGTAGATACAGCAAGCAAGCTCTCCCATCGGTTAGGACTTCAGGAGCTGAACCAAAGGCCCTACACGTTAGATTAACCACCAGTGTAATTCTGAAAGTTCTAGATACGTCAGTGACTCAATAGAGGCTTTAGTCTAACCAGGTTTCAGTTAGTCAGTTTAGTCATTTGAAATCCCATAAAGGGCTACTAGCATTATCATTGAGGTGTTTTTGACTATGTTTTGACATCTATAGCCCGAACTGAAGGCCTAGTGCAAAGTTAGCGGTTCGCTGCTGCTTGCAATAAATTAAAACTGACGTAACAAGGTTAAAGCTGGGCCCTTATCTGGGATGCACACTGATCTGGGAACATCTGACATTGTTCAATGAAACCTTTTGTCATTTTCGTACTGTAGCCTTCTGTAATATCAGTGCTGCGAAGGCCAACACTGAGGTACTGATTAACAAACACTGTGTTGTGGAGCTCTAGTGCAAATCAAAGATTAGATGTGATGGACTGGTGAGTGGCCTGACAGGGAAATATCAGCTAACCCTCCAGCTAAATAACAGCCTTCGGTCATGAGGACGCCCTGCTGTAACTGACCACACTCGACTCACGAACTAATTATCAAGCAGATAAAACACAAATGGGCAGTGTAGTGGAGCTCCAGGGCTTGGAGTGACAATCAATGGCCCACAGGGAAGATAAAAATAAAGGTGCCTGGCTAAATTTAGGGATGCAGCGATATGGGAATTGTGAGTCAATGCCGACGGGACTAAATCTGGATTAACTTAATTAAGAAGTACATTTCTTTATTACAAATGCAATATAAGTAATGTAATTCAGGCAGTAACGGTAACCCAGCATCGCCTAAATGTACAAACGTCTTGAAATATCAAATCTTATGTCTAATGCCAATATATATATATATGAGATGTATCACTGCAAATACGGTCTTACATTTAAAAATCTTAACCTATTACAGTTAACTTTAATTGTCGGTAGACTGCATAATAATACACATAATAATGTATTATTATACATTATTATACGTTTTATATATATATATATATATATATATATATATATATATATATATATATATATATATATATATATATATATATTTATTTATTTATTTTTATTTAAGCAGTAATCTAACAATATGATTCTGATACCATTGTGCAGAGGTGCCCAATCCCGGTCCTGGAGAGATCCAACACAAATGGCTCAAATTCAGCCTCTTCCAGACTCTCTGGAGGCCTTGATTACCTGGATCTGGTCTGTTAGACCGGGGCTGGAGCTAAACTCTGCAGGACCAGGATTGGGCACCCCTGCCATTGTGCATCCCCCAAAAAAGGTTCTTCACACGTCTCATTGACAAAAAAAACATCTATTCATTTCAGGGAACCAAAAGTAGTTCTTCTCCACAGACTCCACAGAGTCTATGGGATGGAGGGAGAAGACCAGTCTTGGTGCTGGAGCTCACCTGTACGTAGAGTTTAGTGTGTTTCCTGCTCTTACGCACCTGAAGGGTGTGATCTGATCATAAGCTGAAGCAGGAAAAACAAGAAACAATACAGAGAGTCATAAACGAATATCTAAACCAAAGAAAAATGTTCCCAGGTCACTAAAAATGTTCCAGCGTCAGCTCTGTGGCCTGCACTGCACTGCACTGGTTCAGGTTTTTCCTGCTCCAGCACACCTAATGTGACTCAGATTTACAGCAGCAGAAAAAAGAACTACGCTAAATTACAGTCATATGCAAAATTTTAAGCACCCCGGCCCCATTCTTGTTGATTTTCTGTGTGAAGAGTAATTAATGCGCAATTTTGAAATAAAACATAAAGGTGGCCTTCACAACAGTTTTAGCATATTTTATCTATTTTTTCCCCAATATGTTGAGCTCAGCAAATAAAGTCATTTTTCATTAAAAGGTCACGATGTAAGTGCATTCTGAGGATGTGTTCACTTATTTTCACTCACAAAATCAACAAAACAGGATGTTTGACCCGGGGTGTTCAAACTGTGTGACCGTACGTTCATATATTAGGAGAAGCTGTCGAAGTACAGTTTATCTGACCCAGACTGAACCTAATCCTAGACTAAACAGGGATTTTCATCAGCATCGCAGTTTAGTCCAATATTAAGATAAATCCCTGTCAGAGGAGTTTAGGGGGCGGGGAAAAGCATTTATTTATGTATGATCATCACATTCCTACGGAAGTCCGGAGAAGCCAGGAGAGATAATTAACTCGTTATCTCAAGATAACCACAATCCAGAAAACTGTAACTACCTTAAGGCCCCTCTGGACTTCCGTACATTCCTCACCGCTCAGATGACTGTTTGCTAGTGGATGTTCTGCAGAGGGGTCAGTGTTGCACTGTAGACTGGAATCAGACTTTCATCAGCTAATCAAGTCCTTTATGACTGGAATGAGTATTACAGCATGAAAAACACTGAACCACTCAGTGAAGGTGAACTCCAGCACTAATCACTCAGAACAGATGGTTCTTCAAGGGTTCTTTAGTGAAAGCAATGGTTCTGTTTGGAACTTTGAGTTCTATACGGAACTATTTCATGCTTAAGTGGCTCTTTGCATGGTGAAATGGTTCTTCAGATTGGTGGAGAATGTGCTGTATGTGGTTCTTAATAGGCCATTCTGAAAATGGTTCTAGATAGCACCAGAAAGGGTTGTTATGACGTCAAGAAGAACCCTTTTTGGTGCTGTATAGGTTTCCATCCATCTGAAGAACAATTTCACCTGCATGCAATGAACCCTTTAATAATGCAAATGGTTCCGAACAGTTCCATGGGTTCGCAGTTCTAAACAGAACCAGGTTTTTTGAGTGTGTATGTCTGTGAAACACCGAGTTAAACCCTGTAAACTAAGTCCATTTTGCTGAGAACAGCAGAACAGACTCACTCGTCCCGGGTCTTGCCAGCGCGGACACGAGCACGGTGAAGCCGAGCGCGACCGCGTGCGCGCCCACGACGGCCACCTTGCGCAGGCACGCGTACAGCCAATACTCGCGCATGCCCAGTCCCTCCCCGACCGGGCTGTACTCCACGTCCGAGCGCATCTTCTCCTCGTCTCCTCTTTATCTCAGGATAAAGCCGAATTCGCGGCCCATTCCTGCTGCAGACCGCACGCCTCGCCCTGGCCGCGTTTCCCTGCTGTAGTCATTAATGTGTCCCGGGTTACACACAGTCCACACACCGCGAACGCCGCGTTTATCCGAGCCTGAACGGAGACCTCGCTCTGCCGGGGGCGGAGATGGAAGTTGTAGCTACATGTTAAACCGGTTGCTCCTATCTGAGCTCCACAGTCGCCTCCCGCGGCGAAATGAACCACATATTAACTAACGTTATATCCCAGACGCGTCGCCCGTTCACGGCGAGTAACGCTGCGTTACGTATTCCGGTACATTAAAGCACCGCAGGCACGCAGTTCTGACCCTCCCGCTGAAACCGCGAGGCTGAAATTCGCCTCCCGGATGGAAACAAACACACATTTCAAACCCACAGGCAAAAACACTCAGCTACGTCAGAGACCAACCCACTAGGAGAGGAGGGGAGGGGCCGCCAGGGCGATACCACTAATAGCCGAGTAAAGGGGGGAACGGCGGCTTTTCTAGATCATAATAGATTATTTTTTTGACTGGAAGGTGTGGTTTAATGTTGTTCCACTGCATTCCCCACATAATAACGTATAATAATGTATAATAATAATACATTATTATGTGTATTATTATGCAGTCTACCGACAATTAAAGTTAACTGTAATAGGTGAAGATTTTCAAATGTAAGACCATATTTGCAGTGATACATCATATATATATATATATATATATATATATACATATACATACATACATACATATATATATATATATATACATACATACATACATACATACATATATATACATATATACATACATATATACATATATATATACATATATATATATATATACATATATATATACATATATATATATACGTATATATATACATATATATATATATATATATACGTATATATATACATATATATATATATATATACATATATATATACATATATACATATACATATATATATATACATATATATACATATATATATATACATATATATATATATATATATATATATATATATATAGATATATATATATAGATATATACATACGCATATACACTCGTCTGGAAACTCAGATGCCACAAAGACCAGGCCATTTACATATACCGTATGGACAAAAGTATTAGGACACCTACACATTACACCAATAGGAGCTTTTATTGCATTCTAAATCCATACGCATTAATATGGAGCTCTTCTGGGAAGCTTTCTACAAGATTTCGGAGAGTGTCTGTGGGAATGTTTGCCCATTTATCCAGAAGAGCATTTGTGAGGTCAGACACTGATGTTGGACGAGAGGGCCTGGCTCGCAGTCTCCGCTCTAGCTCATCCCAACGGTGTTCGATGGAGGTCAGGGCTCTGTGAGGGTCAGCCAAGTTCTTCCACTCCAAACTCACCCAGCCAAGCCTTTATGGAGCTGCTTTGTGCACTGGGGCTCAGTCATGCTGGAACAGAACAGGGTCTTCCCCAAACTGCTCCCACAAAGTTAGGAGCAACAATTGTCCAAAACCTCTTAAAACCCCATGTCATCACCCCTCCTCCACCAAACTTTACAGGTGGCACAGTGCAGTCAGGCAGGTAACGTTCTCCTGGCATTCACCAAACTCAGACTCGTCCATCAGACCGACAGATAGAGAAGTGTGATTCATCACTCCACAGAAGGCGTTTCCGCTGCTCCAGAGTCCAGTGGCGGCGTGCTTTACAGCACCTGAGCTCATTAGTATAACCCATTTTACTGCCAGTGTTTGTCTAATCAAACTTAATAATATATATAATCAAACTCTTCAATCTAATAACTGAAGGGCTAAAAATGAAAATTTTAACTTCCTTGCATCCTACAGCAGTGCCGCAGTAGTCTCTGGAGCAGGGGTGCCAAAAACATTTTGCCTTAGAAGGACGAGCAACATTTGTGGGGGGCTGAGGGCCAAAAAGTCACAAAAACGTACAAATAAAGAAGGTAGATTGGCTTCAACTGAGTTTTATAAGGATGTATAAATTACACTCCATTTTATTTAAAATAATATTTAAAAAATACAAATTTAAATGGTTGATAATTGATATATAGTATAATTTATATATAGCATAAACATTCTCTCACTGGGTGAGGTGGGGCTTTCTGGCCAGCTGAATTAAACGTCCTCACAGGTGAACTCTGGGCAGCCCTGTTGCTTTAGACCGAGATTTTCCAGTTTAGGACTAGGCGGCCGCCTTCTGATGATGCATCCTGAAGGTGAGAGGAACTTTTGAAAAAACTAGAACTGCTTCTGGGTGGATATTTGCAGGAGGGCCATTTTAATATTTATTTCCCTGTTTGTTGGTGAACGCAGAAGGCAGGCAGTCGTTCAGCGACTGAGGTAAGTTACACAATTTCAAGCTTATCAGAGCACAGTCAGGATTAGCTGACAGCACAGATGTTCCCCAGTGGCTGTATGATGTATGTGGGTAATGCATGCAGGCTGGTACTATTACATCTAAACAATAACGATAATAAGCAAGATCCGATGTGTCAAGTATAAAGAATATTTTAATTCATTTTATAAATCAACATTTATATAGCAGCATATCCAGTAGATTGTGAGGTATTTCTGAATTCACGGAGAAATTCACTCCCCCATCTTCTGTCATACACTCTCACCACTCTCACCAACATTCATGTATTGGCCAGCACCTCATCCACACAGATCTGACATATCCTGACTCACGAGTGTCTCTCTCACACAACCTCACACATTCACACACACACACGTCTGGAGTCTCGCATCCACAGTCCATACTGTTTCGCAGGGCTCCCCCAGTTAGTGGCTTGGAAGGCTGGCCTGCTCAACGATGCAGTTTTGGCTGTGAAGAGAATTAAGGGGAAGTCAGTGTGTGAATTCATCACAACTGTCAGTGCCAGCTGTTCAAATCTGATAAAACATTCCTTCTGGATTGGACTAACCACCTCATGTAGCTGTTTACTTTTAACCTAAGCTATTAACCTTTAACCTGAAGCCAGTATATCATCAGCTCACTACATTTTGCAGGATCAAACTGGTGTTTTGTACTCAAACAACTCTATTAATGGACCTTTCATCATCAAAGACTATCATGTAAAACCATCATTAAAAAAATAATAAAAATCAGTATTAAAATATTACAAATAATAATAAAAGAATCAGTACTAAAAATAATAAAAATCCACAGTATTTGCTGTACACTTTTCTTCTTTGCTATAGTGCCACAGTATGTGAGTGGTGCGGAGTGGGAGTGGAGCAGGGAGTGGAGCAGGGAGTGGAGCAGGGAGTGGAGCAACGTGATTTTGCTGGCTTTTCAGAAAGTTGGAGCGTTGGTCCTTGCTCACTCCAATACAGCTGTACTAGAAATTCTCACTGATCACAAAGTTCTACATATATTACACACAACCAATCAGTCTTATGCCATCATCCATTTTGCTGCACGTATGGTAAAGACAATCGTGTTAAAAGCATGTGCGTTTGTTGACCCTTGGCATTTGTCTGGCTTGAGATCAGACAACTGTTTCAAGCCTGTAAAATACCTGAGTAGCACAGAATGTTTAACTAGTTTTTGCATAACAGTGGACATAAATTATATAATACATTTATGGTATATTGTCCATATGTTTCAGACACAATACAACTAAGAGGACCTCACTACTGGGCTTTGATCCAGAACAACAAGTACTGAGCTTAAGAACAGCAACTGTTCATTTATGACCCCAATCAGGAGTTGCCGTAATTTGCAGCTCAGCTACTGGCGCAGTAAGCAAAGGATGAAACTGATAATCTATAACAAGGCTATATGTTAATGCAATATGCAGGTCATATTAGCTAAACATGGCACTATTCCCCAATCCCTCATAGGACTTAAATAACATTTCTTCTTGGAGTACCATTAGCTAGGTTTTCATCAAATGCTAAAATAAGAAGCAATAAAAAATGCAAACTTTATTTCCAGAAGTTTGTGTCCATCAAACTGACTTTACTGGAGGGCCACATTCATAAGGCCACACGACACAGAGACATGAGCAATATTATGCGATATGATATTTTAATATAAGCAGTATGCTTCTCTGAGTATATTGTGGATGTCATTAGTACTTCAAGAACACAGACCAAGTGCATGTCTCATTAAAAAGAGAGCATAATTAGTCGTTTAATTGGATTTAGTGCTGAACAGTATGTGTTAAGTAGTGTGTTGAGTCATGGTACATTGTAAGTTTAAATGTGGCTCTACTAGTGCAAAACACTGAGATACATACTGTGAACATGTCTCGTGATCTGATATTTTCACCCTGTCGCCAACCCCTACTTATACCTACATCAGCCTTTCATGATAACCTACATGTTCCAACAAGCGTCAGTTGTCATAACACTGAGGCACGATGAAGCAAACAGCCTTTATGGCAACTGATGCTTCTTGGAATAAGCCGTTATAAATGTCTACATGGATTTATGTCAGCTGTCATGAAAGCCTTATGTAGGTGCTGTGTTGCCTCATGAATGCTGCCCTTTAGTGAATACAAAAATACTTTATGCAACAATTTCCTCCTGTCACAAAAATGCCCCCCCAACATTTCATGTATCTACAAAATGTATCTGCTAAAGTTTTGTCAATATTTGCAGCATATTACCAGTAAATGCTATTTATTTTAGCTACATCAAATGATTCAGTTTGCCTAAAAAGACTTAGATGACGTCACACTCACCTTCGGTGCACTGAGCTTCTTCTCCCCTCCTACAGGCAGCGCCGCCCCTTTGCTCTCTTTCCAGGGATAGAAGCCAGAGTGAGGGGAGGTGGGCAGCCGGTGGGCTTTGGAGGGAGGTGACGAGTCGTTGCTTTTGCGCTTCTTCCCCAGTCCTCTGTGCTCGTAGCCGGGAACCCTGCTGTGGTGTCCTGAGTTTCCCCCTCGCCCGTGCGGGTCTGGGGGTGAGGTGTGAGTCCGCTTAAACGGCCACGCCGAGGGGCCGTGGGGTGTTTCGGCCGAAGAGGGGCCCAGCTGCGGCCTTGGCGGCTTGTGCCCTGGGGAGAGCGAGCCGTTGGTCTGTCCGTGAGATGGAGGTGTTGGTCTGTCCGGTGCTGGAGTTGGATTCGGAGCTGGAGACATTTTGCTGGACACAGGTGGCCGGACCCGGTCCCTGTCCCGGTCCGGGCTCAAACAGTTCCTGTCTGGGCTGACAGCATCGGCCTCGCTCACAGAGGCCTTGCGCTTTCGCAGAGCGGCTGCTGGCGTGACCCGCTCCACTTCCCTGAGGCGCACCTGCTGCTTGCTGGGTCGGCCCACGGGGTTCTTGGGCCGCCCCGGACCCCCTGGCTGGCTGGCTGTCCGAGCGGGCTTAGAGTGAGCTGCTGCCGATTGGCTGCTGCCCCCAGACTTCTCAGACTGACTGTAGGTCCTGCTGGTGGAGGAACTCTGTGGGTGGGCTTCCTTGCCTGGTCCCTGGGAGGAGTACGGGGAAGTCTTGATCGAGGCGGAGTTGTGATTTCCTGCCTTTGGTTTGGAATGATGGGAAGCGGAGGAAGGGGAGGCAGGAACAGCTGAAGGCTTGGCCGAAGGACTCTGGGACTGAGGATCTGATGCTTGAGGTATTTTCCTAGTCAAAAAGGGGGAAAAACGAATGTAATTAAAAAGGCAATAAGCCGCAAGAGGCTGTGCATTCAAGTCATTTTACTGCTCCTAAGAGGTGCTGGTGACCAATACCTCCTTGACTGTGGTAAAATGCCTGTACTGCATGACATTAAGAGGCTTATTGCTTTATAAATGGCAACAAAATATAAAATATGCCAACGTCCAATAAACACTTTACTATTAATAATACTCTCAATAATTAAAAAAATAAAAATGTGTGCAGTCATATGTGAACATGCCATGTAAAGTACTGTGAAAAGTCACAAAGCACAGTTTATTTATTTAATTACAAGTTGCTCAGCAGAAAAAAAGCAGAGAACAAATATTTAATAGAAAATTGATTGATTGAGGGAGACTTGCTTTCAGTTTTTCAAAGAAATTTGCAGGAATATTTTTCCATGCCTCCAAAGTTCGGTCATAGAAGTTGGTTGCATTTTCTGGATCTAACAATCCAAATAATCAAACCCATTCAGTGGTGTTGCGGTCTGGACTCTGGGGTGGTCAGTCCATTGTTCAGCTTCTTTGTTTGATGTGTCCGTCTCCTTTTCTCAGTGAGGTTCTTCTTGAACGGCTACACATCCTTTCAGACCCACAGCGCTGAGTCGTCTTCTCACAGTGGAAGGATGGACAGAAACACCTGTGGATGTTTTCAGATCTGAAGCAGTTTGATTTTCTCCTCTCTCTCAAAGATGAAAGCTTTAAGTGCTGTTTATCTGATGAGGGCAGTTCTGGTGTCTAACAGGTCTTCCAGGTGGTTGTTAGGAGGCCCATTTTCTCTGTATCTCTTAATAATTTTTTTGAATTCCAGTTTTGGAACCCCCCCTTCTGGCACTCAACAGACATTTTGACTGGAAATTAAATAAATGAAAGACGGTCTCAGTACTGTATGCAACAATGGCTTCGATTGTCTCAGCCAATCAGATTTTATAATTGAAACCGTCCACTAAAAACCACATTCAGAAGCTGTTTGGGAAGTCCTTCCAAAATCCATCTGTTGCAGAGTCAGTGAGGTCCATCAAGGGCGAACATCAGTAATTGGTTTAGGAGTTGGGTGGCTCCTGAACAGATTTCTAATCAGTTAAACTGGATTAGGCTCAGGATTAGGCTTCATTAGGGGACAGCCACAATAAGCGAGGCTTAAGGAGGGGAAACCCAGCAGCCTAATGCACAGCAAATAACATAAGAGATCACTGGTACTGTTTCTCATCAGCCCAACACCATCCAAAAATAAATAAATAAATAAATAAATAAATAATACAATAAAACACCTTGTTGTGCTTCTATGAGAAAAATGACCTGTTAGAAAAGTACTTATATACTGTTTGCTGCTACAGTAGTTTACTAGGCACTAAAGTCAATCAAAAACTACCAGCAGAAGTGGAACCAGGACAAACTTCTCTGCACAGGGGAACAAATATCAATTGTTTTCCTATTTAAAGCTTTAAATAGTTCAGTATTCCAAGTTGGATAAGAATCTGATTAAAAATGGGACATAATCTAATACGAGGATTTAAACAAGTCAACAGCATTAATTTAAGCCAAGTAATAAATGAGGCCCTTACTTCCACAGGTGGGCGCTGAGGTGGCTCTCTACCATGGCGCTTACAGCAGACCGCAGATGGTGCAATCGCCGGTCAAACGTGAAGACACCGTGACCCAGAGCACAACTGCCAAACGTACAGTACTGAAGAGAAACAAAAAAAGCCACGATTAACACAAATAGCAGTTTCTCAGTCGTGCTTATGTAGCAGTGATCTCAAACACAAACCTAGTACGGTTAAAAGAGAACGTGGGCTCATGTAGGCACTACTGGGTTATACTGGTTTGTTTGAAATGAAGTAAGAAACCATCATAGTCACATGTGACAACTACAAACAGTTGTATGCAAAAGTTTGACAGTTCCTGGTCAAATTACATGTTCTGTTAATTTTCTAAGTGAAAATAAGTCTGCAGAACACAATTCTGCACATTTTAATGCACAGTTACAGCTTATTTGCTGAATTTATACATACTTAGAAAAAAAATAGCACATTAAATGTGGGGGAAATTGTGTTTATCAAATAAATAGAAATTGTGCAATTAAACTAGTAGAAAAATATTTAAAATTCATCAACTTATTTTTACCAAGATAGAAAAAAAACTAACAGCCTCTTCAGCTAAAATCAGGTTAAAACCCATCTGCTCTCACTAACAAACTCAAATGTAAAACTTGTACAAGCACTTTTGGGCTTTTAAACTTTCCACTGCACATTAATTTTTTTTTTGTTTAGAACAACTTTAGTTGCAATCTACTTTCATTACAGTACCTCACTGTGCAAATAAAGAAATTATAAATAAATAAATAAACAAACAAATAAATAAATAAAGTAAGCAAGAAAGCAAGCCCCGGGGGTGTTCAAATATTTGCATATGACTGTACGCCATCATTCAAAGGGATAAAATCACTGTTAAAGCTTGGAATCAATGTTTCCAATACTGCAAAACCAATACTGCAAATAAATGTATAAAACAAATGTAATATGCTGTGTTTCAGATAATTTGTGAATCCTTCTTCCTCTTCTTCTTCTTCTTCTTCTTCTTATTATAATACAATCCGGAATGAAGTTATGAAAAATTTAATATCCAGAATGCTTCGTATTTGCAAATGTGGATGGAGACAACTTGACTAAATTATAATAAATAGATAATTAGAGGATGATATTTTTAATATGTTTGCTGTTCTCAAAATATGTAAAGTATTGGATAAAATACCCTTTGGTGTCTAGTTTATTCAATAATATAATAAACTAATATATATATATATATATATATAATGTGTGTGTGTGTGTGTGTGTGTGTGTGTGTGTGTGTGTATATGCATGGAAGCACAGTACAAAAACATGTATATATTAGACATTATATATATATATATATATATATTAGATTCTGCACTGTGCTTTTTAAAAAGTAAGGTTTTATGATACCGCGAGTGGTTTGGGGTGCCAGGGGGTGGAATGCCAGTCAGGGGGTTCCTCAGCAGCCTCTCCTTCACTCTCATCGCTGGATATCCGGCCCTGAACGAGGGGAGACGAAGGCCGTGCACCCCCCTCCTCCCGGACAGCCTTCTCCTCCTCAGGGGCGCTCTCAGATAACGTCCGCGTCCTGCTGGAGCAAACACACACACACGCAATTAGACCTACGTTTTACCTAATTCTGTTTAAAACGAGTGGTCATCCACATTTCTCCAGCACATCTGTCCACGTGCAGAATTCAGTATCTATTTGATCCAACTCTTCATTTTTCTGAAGAGACTTATTAGTTAGATCCAAGAATAGGGTTCAAACTAAATCATACCCAAAGGTAAATTAGCAGGAGCAGAGCCAGTTACCACAGTTTAAAAGTATAAGACGTACATTAACCAACATAAATTATCTGTGCAGACATGTACGGTGACCCCAAAAAGTATCTGGACATTTGTATCATACTTAAAAATGTATCAAGTTCACTGTATTAAGAAAGAAACCGATCTGAGAAGCTAAAAGTGCTTTAATCAAAGTAACTTTAAAGAACTTTAGTAAAATACTGTAGCAGTGGAGGGCAGTGTGAATGTTGTCTTAGCAAATCAAGCCACGCTCCTCTGAGTACATCATGGATATGGTTAGTACGTCTAGAACACTGCATGCATCATAAAAAGACAGATTTAGTCCAATTATAGAGAAATATGATATATATTACGCCTCAGTAGTTAAACACAGCATGTTTCTGCAGATTTTAGTACACAATTATTTGCTGATTTCAACATATTGGGGGAAAAAAATGTTCCATTATATTTGCAGAGGGCACATTTTATGTTTTATTTCCAATATGTTACATTTAAACAGTATTAAACAGTAATTGTGCAATTAGCACAGTAATTAGCACAGGAAGGAAGGACAGTTGGACCAAGACGTTGTCCTGCACAAGCAAAACAAGCTTGGTCCCACAGTCTTCTAACCTGAAGGCAGGGGAGTTGGCCAGCGGTCTCCTGCAGTGTGGCGAGTTAGTGGGTTCTCTCGGAGCCTCCAGGCTGGGGGACGGGGCGGCCGGACCCTCATGGGTCTGAGCCACGCGCTCGCGGCTTTTTGAACCCATCTTCAGCTCCGCCACCAACTGGTCAAAGTTCTTACTTCTGCCTACAACCTTCCGCCGCTGGTGAACAGAGTGAATCTAAGAGAGGGAAAATAAGGAGCGTGTTTTAGTTGTGCTGAACAGATTCTCCAAAATAAGACAAGAGAAGGTTTTAAGGTCTTGTAACACCATCAAAGTCATAGTGGATTCACAGAATTCCTTATTTGATCTTCAATACAGCAAAAACAGAATGAATGATAAATGTGCCTCATAGTAATATATTAATACTTCTGTGTTTTAGTTTATTAGAGCATTTAAACCCTATAAAAGTACAATATTTTAAACTAAAGGGTCAGATAGAACCTAGATTAAGCCTAGACCACGATAGGATTTTCAACTGTAAAATACTATCGACTTTGCATAGTTTAAGCCTAGTAACAAGGCTTGGATTAATCCTTATCCACGAAACCCACCCATAGTGTTCCAATCTAATGTTCTAGTCACAAGTTAATATGTTAGCCCCAAGTTTACACACTAACCACACGCCAACATGCTACTCACAATACAACGATGTTGTATTATTACATCCTTATAAAATAATGGTAGGAAAAGACAAGATTTGCACATCCACTTCTTTTAAACGGTTTACTAGAAAAAATGCTGCTCTCTTCAGTTAACTTCTTAGAACCGAGAACGAAAGGCACTTGCATGCACGCCAACCAGCCTGTACAATGGCTGTCTATGCAAATGTAAGCAGTACCACATAGCTAAGGAGTAACTTGCATATCGTCGCTGTCCAAAGAAAAATTTCCAAAATAGTAACTTTACAGGAGAGGGCAAAAACACGCTTACCTTTCAATGTAAGTCAATGTAAAAAGATTTTACACTGAAGTGCTTTTAGAGCATTTTTATTGGTCCATTCATCAGGAAATTTTGCTGGTACATTGAAATGATGTAGAAAAATAAAAATCAACAAAAATGGAGATACATTGTTTTCTTTGGTCAGCGACGACATCTAACTTATCAAAGTTTTATTCCAGGTATATTTGGAGCATTTTTACTGGTTCATTTGTCATTAAATTCTTACACAATGCCAAGAACAGCTGCTGTGCTCCAATTACATAGAAAAATACAAAAAATGGAGATGCTTGTTTGGACAGCAAAGATATGACAAATACTGCACTAGGTTGGATGTCAGTATTTCAACATGGGCTCCATGAGACACATTAGAGGCTGGTTTTTCCATATTTCGGACATGACTGTGTCACTGAGCTACACCCAGGCAATCCCTGCACTTCGAGTGTTCAAATCTGCTCAAGACAAAGCGTGACAAACCATTTAATACTGCCTTTAGAACAGTTAGTGTTGCTCTCACTGACCATATCATTTGTTGATTTGATGTAAATGGAATATAGGTGTGTGTGTCAGTACTTTAGATCTTACCTGAACCTTCATTTTAAACTTCTACTCACGCGTTTCATTTTAGCATCATTTATATGTCTAAACTTGTTGAAATCACTTCATAAACACATAAATACTCATTTAAAGTTATGGGGAGAAAAAGGTAACAGGGACTTGTATCTTTCTTGCTTTCAAACATACATATAAATCACATAATCAGTGACCTGTACTTCACTGAAACCTGAGAAATCATTTTTTTTGGGCAAATCCTCAAAGCAGTTTGTCTTTATAAAGTGAAGCACTGATCTGATGCGAGTATTAGCCTTCCCAAAAACAGTCATTTGCAAACTACTGTTTTATAAAAGGTGTAATTAGACTTCTGAACTCCTAAAATAGCACTGACGATACATTTACTTTTAAGTTAACCACTTACAACGTGTGTATAGAGAGCAGTATCATCAGTAAACAAGGGGCTGCTGCCACTTCAGTGAACTAGAGATAACCTTAAAGTCATTTGCAGCATTCTATTCAATGCAGAATCGCAGCCAAAATGAACCGTATTTTGCAGAATAAATCTGCATAGTTAATGTCTGTGTTTGTAAACATTACATTTTTCAAGGAAACATCTCCATTTCTGAAAACTGAAAGCATCTGTATTCAGTCTGAGCTGTTTTACACAGTCTTGGTCTTATTTTTCATTTTTTCCCCTTCCTTTAGAGCAGGAGAGTAACAATCTGTGCAAAAGAGCTGGACGAAATAGGCTACCAAAAAAAAAAAAAAAAAACCAAAAAAAAAAAAGAACAGTCTTTTCCTGTAATTCCTTCCCCGTTTCCTGTAAGTCATGTCCATGTAACTTCCTGTCTGTCGACGGAGGCAGACACAAACCCGCATTCAACATTAAATGACTTGTTTTACATACAGTACACATTTCATGTCTCCAGCCAGGAACGAGTGGTGAGAAAATACCACACTCGCCCTAAAAAAAGCAGAAACAATCTCCAGACATGGACTCTACTAAGAAAATACTCGTTTCAATTGTACAAAGCAATGTTTTAAACACATTCTAGACAATGGCTACTGATTTCCATTAAGAACAGTACATAATGGCTCGGAATCACCCAGCTACAGTGTTCGCTCCCATTAATGTCTACATTTTAAGCGAGAAAGGTATGATTTTGGTCTCACTGTGTCGAGGAGTAACGCACCCACATGGCAAACAATGAATGAAAGCTAGCATGTACCACCAAACAGGTCTTCCATTAGCAGAAGTAAACTCAGTAAACTCACATTGCAGGTTAACAGCCGAGTACAAACTTTCTTCCTCTCTGGATCCAACACACCACAGTGTTTGTCCAGGTCACATTCTTTTTCTGCAGGAAGAGATGTAAACATTTTACTTATTATGATGGGAAATAGCTGTTGACCTAAATACATTAGTCACAATGAAAGAGAGGAGAAAGAAAAGAAAAAATACATTTGACATCAACGTTCCAAAGAACAACAATACACACATATATATAATACATAGTTCAGAAATCCCAAATAAACCTCATAATAGGCCCAATAATATTATTAAAAACATTTTTTCTTCGCTTTTATTTTAAATTAGAAGAGTCTGATGTAGTATGTGAACAGGGTTTAGGTCCATCCTGTCCATTTATTAAAACTAGGCTGCAAAACCCGTCTGTTTTGGATTAGTTGTTTTTGTGATGTCACGAAAACCGGCCAATTCAGTTTGTCCACTTGTTTATTCTAGAGCAGTGAATTCAAAGTGAAGTTATGAGGTGTTTCAGCCCACACTGTTTTTTGAATGAGGCACAGCACAGGAAAGCCAATCAGAATAGAGATATTTTACATATATCAGTCTTAAAGGCGCAGTCACAAAAACAGCCTGTTTAATTCTAAGGGATCTAAGGCTGGACGCACACAACACGACTTAAAACCTTAACAGACTTCTAAAACAGAGAGCATCACAAACTTCACGTCAATTTGTTGCAGAATTTCTTGTCTTTTTGTCACGAGTGCGCTCACACCGGTCGACAAGGCAAAGGGAGATACATATAATGAGTTTGGGCTACGAATAAGAACTCAAACTCCCAGATCTCCTCAGAGAACACTAGACACAGACAGAGCTGCACTTACTGGACCTGTTCGTGCTTTTATGCTCAGGTAAAGCTCAAACTAGGGATTAATATGGGGTTGAGAAGTGCTGATACACTGAGAGCTGGAGAAATATTTCACTACAAACTGGCAGCTGAGCTGAGATTGTACAGAGAGTGATCTGACATTTGGATCCAAACAATATAATCATGATAATATATGCCTGTGTTTTACACACAGCTCCTCTGTCTCTGTGCTCCGCCGTTCAGGCACATCTCTTCACCTTTTTCTCCGCTCTTCTAGCTCTCTGATTGGCTGTTGTTTGAGCCACTCGTTACGGAAATTTCTGACCTTCTCACACTGCAGGACTCGTGAACGTTTTAAATATTGTTGTAAATATCAAACAAGTTCAGAGTCACTTCAGAGTTTGATCGGAGGGCTAATGATTCAGTAGTTTCTCCTCTCACACCAATAGATCATCACGCCGTCGGTCACTTCCGATCGAGCTCCCGACCTGGAAAATCGCTTCAGATTGAGAAAATTTGTCTGAAGGGGCAAATCGGACTTAAAATCGGGCAAAAGATGTGTAGTGTAGGCTCGGCTTAAGTCAAGTGGTCTTTGTCATTCCCCAATATGACTTACAGACGCTGGAACAAAACCTCCATTGTTGCCCCATGGTGCATCAATACTCTGGATTGAGCATCATTGTTTTTAGATAGGTGTTTAGTTAGCGTCATGCGTATTTATTGCCATCTTTTTTTTTCTTTTCTGCATTTTCCTTCTTCCTGCTCACGCAACGTCATTGGACTGCCAAACATGCTCGGAGGAAAGCGCCAACCACCAGTTCTGTTACATCAGCTAACAGATGCCTGCACTGACTAGCATCATGCTGAGGGATGGGGGGAGAAGAGGGGGGACCATCCTACCCACCAAGAGAGAGCGAGGCCAATTGTGCTCTCTTGGACTCCCGGCTACGGACGGCTGTAGCATCACCAGGGATCAAACTTAAATATGCTAAAAGTAGAATTCAGTCAACTATCATGGTCAATAATTTCAACATATCGAAACTCATCTTGATTAAAAGCCAATGGACAGATGATGGTGTGTTTTAAGTCAACAGACTTTATGCTTTTAAACACAGGAAAAGTATTGTCTATAGTAACTAACTATATGCTACAGATTCAGCAGATAGATATTAGGTTAAAAAAAAAAAATCAACACTGAACTTAAGACAGTGCTCATAATCACCCCATTTTAATTGCATTTTTCTGCTTCAATATTATTACAAAAGCTCACGACAGACTAATACTGGGTCACTAACTATATAACCAGGATAGAAGCTCAGCAAAACAAAAACATGTTAAAACCCTGGATTATGTGACTTTACTACAAGTACTTACTTGACACCTTATGAGGCCTGGTACCTCGGGCATGCCCAGGTGTGGCAGGCGCAGAGCTAGGCTCCGCTCTCTGGCTTGGTGACCTCTCGGTGGTCGCAGTCCGACTTGGCGAGGGGCCTCCATGGGGCCAGGGTGGGTCTCTGAGGCTCGGAGGAGGAGAGTTTCGAGGAGGCTCTAAAGGTGGAGGCTGCTTGAAGACTGAGGACTCAGAGTGACCAGAGTTGGAGGTCTTTTCCAGAGGAGAGAGACTGGATTGGGTGAAAAACAAACAGAGCACAAACATCATTAAACAAAAATGAAATTACATGAAATTAAGTGGCACTGTAGAACAATAGGTGGTGCTTTTCCAGGCACTGCCTGTAGTACTGTTTCCCAATCCCTGTTCGTCAGGGAACTTTAGCATTTTCCTTGCTTGAAGACATGTGATTCAGCTCGCTGGATGATTATCAAGCCCTTCATGGGCTTAAACAGGTTAAGCTTGCTGCAAACGTTGCAACAACAGTTATGTATGTTTACTGTAGGTCACACTGTAAAAGATACTGCAAATAATACTTTTTATATGTGTGGTGCAGTAGGAGCAATGTTATTTTTATAAACAAATATGTCTAAAAAGGCACATTTTGCCTTAGTTTGTGTTTCACCGTCAGCACTGCCATCCTGCCATTTAGGTTTTTTTTTTTATTTTAGCAGCAGCCACATTCCCTAATTTTGGTTTCTGACACTGCCAGATCTTGCAAACACTGACCTTTATTAAACATGAAATTCATTGGAAAATCAAGTTATCAATTAGTCCAAGGCTTGGCTTAGGGTGCATTTGGACATTCCTCATCAATAAGTAAAAAAAAGTTATTGTTTACTAAATATTTATGACTACATTTATTGCTATGGTGATTAAACATGTCCAATTACGTCACAGTACGCTGACAAGAAAAACAGACTCAACTAAATCAAACTACAAATTGATGTAGATTCAAAGTTTGAGGGCAGTAAAAGAGGTGGTTGCAACTGCAGATCAAGATCCTGAACATAGTGGAAAAATATGAATTCAAATACGACACTCAGTGTCTTTACTCGCATCTATGACAGTAAGTCTACCAAATTAAGCTAAATGACGTGCACCATAATCTAAAAGTTTTAAAATTGTGCCAGAGATTTTCTGCTTTGAAAGACTTTCCATCAAAAACATGCCTGGACACATAATTAAGCCTGTTACACTGGGTTCAGTGTAAAAAGCATGAAAAAATATCACATTTAGTTTTTGATGGTATTTTTTAATCTGGTTTATGGTGCTTTCAGACATTCCTCATCAATACATTAAAAAAAAACATTTTTAAATTGTTGCGTCATCAAGTTTGTAACTTAATTCATTTGGATGGACATTGAGAACTGGTTAAAATATGTATCTGCTCAAATGCCAGCTTCATCTACTTGCTTAAGTTGACAGAGAACATCTTGGAAGGGTTTAACATGGGACATGCCCGAGTTTTCAACTTGTATTTGTAAATTTCTCAGCAATCTGAGTGACACTTGCTTGACTACACTTGCATTGTGAACATCACAACCCCTGGTTTCTGTCACCCCCTCTGTAAAGAAATCTGTCAGTAAGTTTCTCTACACCAATTTTATATCAGACCACTCCGAATGACTTGAAATTTAGCAAAATCGATGGATTTCCCCTTTAAAGAGACGAGTGCAGAACATAAAACCAACAATCATTCAGCAACAGCCGCCGTGACTCACCGAACTGCGTCCTTGGTCGTCTTGCTGTGCCTGAACTGAGGGGGCGTGGACGGCGACTGGGGCGCGGGCCGCGGGGGTCCACCAGCGCCTTGACTCCTGCCGCTCCAGGAGGCCGTCCCATGGCCCGTGGCGGGTGGGGCGTGTCCGTGCCGGGGGTGTGTCCGTTGCTGGGCAGCAGGTGGGGTGGCGCGCATGTGTGCATAGAGCTTCCCCACAGACCCGTGCCTCCTCTCATAGTGCTTCTCGAAGGCCTGCGGCTTCACCACCTGACCGCAGTGGCTGCACACCACCAGGTAGAAGTCATCGTGTCCGGGATAGTGTCCGAAGATGGACATATCTGTGAGGAGGATTGGACGGAAAAGACAGTATAAAATATATTTAACATGCTGTGGAGAGTCTGACGAGTACAGCAATGGATCACAGATAAGACGGAAAGTGGAGCACATAGGAGGCTCAAGCCTGCGGCTGAAGGCCGACTCATGCCGAAAGTGACGCCTTTATATGACTGACAGAACAGACATGCATCTATGTTAACCAATGCTTCATTCCACATCTGCTCTGCTAGATGCTCATCTTGAAATATTTCAGATGCATTGAGTGACTTTTATCACCTTTTGCAGAAATGAGTGAACCCTAAACTCTACCAATGCGCCCACAGCACTGTTTACTAAGTTATAGGGGTGGAAAATATGACTATATTATAATCAAATCAATCAACCTTTATTTAATCTTGGAGAACATTGAGGGTGACCCTCATTTACAATGTTGCCGAGTTGATACAGAACAATAAAATAAAATTTAATAAATTAAAATCAGGTAAGTGTAAAAAAAAACAATAATAAAAATACAATAAAAAATATAAAACAATAATTTAAATGTAGCTAAAATGTAAAAGTTAATAAAATCTAATCAAAATAAAAGGAGAATAAGATCAAAAAGTTAACTAAAGATTTATTTAAATTATTTACAAAAATAAAATAAGAATATGAATAATAATAAATAAAAGAAATGAATAATAAAATAATGAAAATAAGATAATAATGGTAATCAGGTAAAACAGTTGCAGGCAGAGTGGAGGTGGTTAGGGAGTAAAAGTTTAAAATGACTGAGCGACCCAGCGAGCTGAGCTGTAGTGTTTCCTGTAGTGAGTTCCAGCTCACTAGTGCTCTGTAACTAAAAGCAGATTTTCCCAGTTCAGTAAAAACCCTCGGTACCTGGCATGCGATCCAACCACTGGAGCGAGTCTGATAAATACCATTATTTACAGACATCACTGAAGTAATATATTCTGGCATATGTCCGGAGACCAGTGTGTTTCCCGCTGTGTTGCTAGTGAGGGCCATCCAACTTTTTCATACAGTCTGCAGTGATGAGTGTTATAAGGGTCTCCAGTAATGAATGCTATCATGATGAAATGTGCCAAACTATGTCACAGTATGCTGTTCTGAGCATATCATGGATATTGTACTTAAAGGACACTGACCAACTGCATATTTCATTATAAAGAGTATAATTAAGCCAGTTTAACTGGATTTAGTGTAGCTCTGTGTGAAAAGGTGAATGAACATTACGTTCAGTATTTGGTAGTATTTTTTTTAATGTGGCACTGCTGGTTCTTTTTTCTGTGTTTCACCATATCAAACTTCAGAAAAACTAAATACTGTGATGCCATATATTGTAATGTCTACGTACTGTTATATTTCATAATCGCTCACCCCTAATTTATATTTGAAATCATGATCTACCACACCAGACAGGTTTCTATCGATTGTATTTCACATGATAGATGACAGTGAGCACCAGTGGACTGACAAGATTAAAATGTGTCATAATCTTATCAAAAGAAATAAAACAAAAGTGATATTAGAAGGTAAAAACATACAGGCGCCTGCCGCTGAAATATTCTGAGCCGTTGTTTGTTTACTGTCTCCACAATCTTACGATGTACAACGAGATGCTCCTCAACATTACAGATTACCAACAGGGTAAAACCTTATGACTGTGATTTTGTCACAATAAACAGATCTGCATGGATTGGACAGGTGGTCATGTGCACTTCACCTATGCTGCACTGTGCTGCTGACATATTGTTTCTGGGGTAAATTCTAAGTAAATGAAGGAACAAGTTACGTGTAGGTGCACAAAAGTGATACATGCACAACAATAGCTATGAAAATCAAGACTGCATTCAGGTATTAACACTTCTTCAACAAGTTCAGCCGCTTTTCCACTGCATGGTACCAGCTCGACTCGACTTTTTGGGTTTTCCATTTGGCAAATTTGGTACCTGCCATCTGTTACTGGGTACTATTTTTGGTTCCACATCCGTCGAGACTCCAAGCGAGCTGAGCCGACACCAAAAGGTGACGTAAAAACGCTAAAGACCGCTGACATGGTGGAGAGAATTGCTAAACATGCTAACGCAAGCCACCAGGTTAACGTAGCTTCCTGATTCACGTCTGACCAACCAGAATCATCTCATCTCCTTTTTTCAGCGGTATTTTGTCTCGCTGTCATCAGCCATTTCAAACAAAGTTTGTCTCCTTCACATCATGTCAGTTTCACGTGGTGTTGCTATGACGACCAGCTACATTGAAGGGGTACTATATCTTCAATAGAAAACGAAGTAGCTGGTACAAAAAATAAAAAGAGAGTCTAGCTGTACTGTGCAGTGGAAAGCGGCTTTTGCGCCTGACGAAGGGGTGCGTATGTGGATATGCACACTCCCTTCAAGACCTAAACGCATTCACACCATCACAGCTCACTAGATGAGTTTAGAAGTGAGAAATGTCAACAACGTAGAGCAGAGATCTTCTAATCCAGACCCTGTATCCAGTTTGCGGTCCTGGATTTTGTATTCACCAGTAGGTTTGACACTAGCTGACCAATTAGTTACATCAACAGTCAGCATCAACACTACAAGTGATGACAAAATCCAGGCGTGAGAACTAGATTCAAACAGATTTGAAGACCTCCAAGTCCCACATTTTCCAGAAAAAAAAATTGTTAGGTGGGGCAGTTCTCGTACTCCGATAAAAGCAAGCTGGATAAGAAGAAGCTTTTCTTTGTTAATTACCAGCATGATTACGAACGTAAGGATCTCATGACAAGTTAAGCTGGTAGTATAAGTCAAACAACAAAAGAATTAAAAATCTATTACAGAACACGCAGTTATACGTATATTTAAAAAAAATACAAAAGCACCACTAGAAGTCCGTGTCATGCAGTGGATCTATCACGCTCAGAGGGAAGTCTCAGAATGAGCGATGCGGTGATGAGGACCAATCACAGTCAGGGAGAGGTCTCAGAATGAGCGATGCGGTCATGAGGACCAATCACAGTCAGGGAGAGGTCTCAGAACGAGCGATGCGGTGATGAGGACCAATCACAGTCAGGGAGAGGTCTCAGAATGAGCGATGCGGTCATGAGGACCAATCACAGTCAGGGAGAGGTCTCAGAATTACCATTAGGTGGCACCAACCCACCTAATGAACATCATTTTGGCTAAAAAGACACATTTTTGCTTTGAAACATCATTTTTACAACAACATATGCCGTCAGCTTTACCCAATAAAGTCAGCTAATATTAGCTGCTAATGTTTACTAGAATGCTGTGCAGGTTTGGAGCAAAGCTATTCCTCATTTTTACCTCACGTAGTCAGTTATACCTCATTGCGTTCTGTCTGAAGCGATTTAACTCTACATTTTTACATTTTGCCACATCTGATGTTAACGTTGTGTTCTACCGAGTCCAGTGTTGTAAGTGGCCAGGTTGTGGTTAGCATTCCTGTGTTAATTAACTGATGACTATGTTTAATTACGTCAGCGTCTGAGCAGTAATATCACCAACACTGGAGTTTAATGTGGAAAAAAGTGTTGAAACGTGCATTAATGATTAAAGTCACCTTGCGGCAAGTCTTCACAGTTCACTGACTCATCTACAGAATGTAAGCTAACTAAGGCAACACCACCAGCTTTTATTTTATTCATAGGTAATGTCACATGTTCTCTTACTCGTTCACAGACAGCTTTTTACCTTCTTTAAAACTGTACGACTCGCCAATCCAGTGTTGGAGCAGCCGACGTCAGCAGCCTGCTTTTGACGTTGACCCTGTCAAACTTGCTCTGCTGTGAAATAAAGTTGCTCCACCATACAAACTACATCTTTTGATAAAATCAGGTAAATGAGGATGTAAAATTACTGAGTCATCTACACACTCCCATTCATAAACACCGCCACTACTGTAATGTTTTCCCTACTATAACAACCTCTGCTGGGATAGGGGACCAAAATCCGGACTCACTGACGCACAACAGACATAATAAAATGACTGACTTTTTTCTGACTTCTTCTATGTGAAGCAAATACCCTAGACGTGTGAGCTTCACGTTTCAAATCGTGTGAACATACAAAACAGAAGCAGTGAACATGTTAAAGCAATCTGTGTGCAATGGAGTAGCAATAACAGCATAACTGCTGATAGGATGAGACATACCCTCCTTCCTTAATGTCATGGTTTCCGTCGTTTTCTTGCCATTCTTGCTGCAGTCTTCCCCATCGGACCCTACAACGGAAAAGCTCGGCGTGAGTTTGCGGCTTTTCTGGTGGGCAGCACAAACACGGGGCAGGCAAACACCTACTGACCCTGCTGTGGATATTTCAGAACAGCACAGCGTGCGTAATGTAGGACATTATTTTTAGTGGAAAAGAAAACTTCAGCTATGGCAGGCATATTAACTAGCTCTTTAGTCAACTATGAGTCAGCGTAGGGTGGAAAAATGCAACTTACTGTACACAGAGGATTACCCCTTAAAGGGGAACTCCACAATTTTTCAAAATTTCTACATAATTTAATGATTAAGATGTAAACAAAGTCATTCAAAGTGGTTTGGTGTGAGACGCTCTGTTCTAGAGAGACTTCAGAACTGAAGAAGAAGTCGGAACTGTTCACAGTGGTGGTGACAGGAACCAGATGTCTACCCCTAAAAGTTCCCTCCCAGAAAAAATATTACATGAAATAGTTATGAATACACTGTCTGATGCCTGAGACATTGAGTTACGATAAAGTTTTGGCCTAAGACGTCTTGTTAACCCATTTATTTTAATCCATTCATGGCGGAGGGGTACATGCAGTGTGTTGTGAGGCAAAACAGTCCCAAAAGACGACCTATTTTTTCACATTTTCCACTATTTTACCATCAACAACATCACATATAAAAACTCAGGACACGTGTAGGTTCACTGGTGGTTTCGGATCGTAAATAAATTGGCTATATTTACGTCGTAGACATGATGACTTCTGGTTCCCATCGCCACCACTGCAAAGAAATCTGAGTCTAACTTTCTCTGCAATTAACCATTTCACACTGAACCACTCTGAATGACTCTGTTTAGGTCTCAACCACTGAATTGTGCAGCAATTTTGAAAAAATTCAGTGGGATTCCCCTTTAAGGTCTAAAGATGGACTTGGAGAAAGTTAATTCATAGTCTCGTCTGATTGATGGTAAAGGAAAAAATGTAATGTGTCAGTGGAGATACAGCTGTTGAGGAATTTTGAGAAATGATCACATCTTCCTCTGGGTGGGGCAAAGGGAAGTCAGTGTACCTGTAGTGCTGCTCAATGTATTAAGTGCTAGTGGAAGTGTTCAGGCGGGTGGGAGGCCCACCACAGCCCACCACAGCCCACCACAGCCCCACAAAACCAACTTGAGCAGCGGGCACAGTGCTGGGAGAAATGCCAGACAATACGAACACGGAACACATTTTTTTCCACCAGCTAGCAGCAGAGCTAAGACACCGACCACCCTGCCCCAACCAGCAGCACAAGAGGGGGTCGTGAAACCTCTCCATAACACTGTAACCCTACGATTCACAGTAAGGCGGTGGGGTCTGGTGCGTTTGAAAAGTAGCCGCCGTATCACAAACCAGCCTTTTTTCCCCGAAGCTAACTAGAGCTTCGTGATGGCTACTAACGTTAGCGATAACATCAAAACTCCTCCTCCACCACCGGCGACTGACGAGGCTGAAGTTGGCTTCCTATTCGCCAGGTCCTCGTTCGAATTTTCCCGTTCCACCTTAAATGCCGCAGTAGTTACATTCTGGCGCCTCGGGCATCAGAATGTAACCGCTGCACCATTTAAGGTGGAACGGGAAAATTCGAACAAGAAGCTGGCGAACAAGAAGCTTGGTCGGTGACTGCCTAGTTACAGCAAAGTAAACTGGCTGGTAAACAAAAAAAGCACAACCAGGCTACAGCCAGAGGGGCTTTATTACCAACACAGCTGCTAAACTAACGTAGCTTTAGCCGCCGTGCTGGTAGACGTAGAGAAGCCTCTGTGAGAGCCGCTAGCTCGGCGGCTAAAGCTAAAGCTAAAGTTAGCCTAAGCAGTGCAGAAAGTTGTCCGAGTGCATAGCTCCCTCTCCGAAGGAGAAACTAGACACTTTAGCTTTCCTAAACGAGACTCTCCGCAGCACCACGCAACCCCAGCGCTTCAAATGAACTCAAAAACAAAACTGTTAGGCTCTGTTAAGGTGAAGTCTCAGGGCTGAGGAGGAGGAGCGCTAACCGGCCAGCGCTAGGACCCGGCAGGTCCTTTGTTTGGGTAACATGGTTAGGGATGCCGTGCCTTTTCCAGCGAAAATAAACCGCATCCGAGCGACTTTTTTCGCCGAGACGTCGACTAACGTGCGCAGCGGCACCGGCACTCACCGTCCGGCGCTGTCAGGCTGATTCTTTCGGCCCAAACACTCCAGCTTTGGCCCACGAAGTCGTCGAGACAAGGCACCCGCCGATCCAGAGCAGCCATTACTTTAACTGCGCGTTCACGCACCGCCATCATCACCGCGCGGCAGAGGCGCTTGCGTCATGATGCGCGTTCCCGAGAGCCGAACGAGTACAAATGAGCGCGGATGTGCTGTTAAAGGGCCCATATCACGGAAAACCGAGCATTTTTTATTTTTCCATGTTTGAAGGTTAACAGAGGTTGACGTAGTGGATAAACACTGTTAACGTTTTCAAATTCAGCAAAATGTTCATACACTGCATTTATGGGAGCTAAGCTGTGAAAACAGCCACCTTTTAAATTTTTGTGATGTCATTCAATTCAATTCAACTTTGTCATTATACAGCATAACGAAACACTATTAGGCTACTTCTCTGGTGCATAAACATTAAGACAAGGGCATGAGTGCACATGTACTAGTGGATTCTACAAAACATATACACCAAATATAAATAATAAATAGACAATAGACAATAAATACATAATAAATAGAGACACAGAAGTGTACTGGTGCATAGAAAGTGTGTATACACGTATGTGCAAAATACACCGATCAGGCATAACATTATGACCACCTCCTTGTTTCTACACTGATTGTCCATTTTATCAGCTCCACTTACTATATAGGTGCACTTTGTAGTTCTACAATTACAGACTGTAGTCCATCTGTTTCTCTGCATACTTTGTTAGCCCCCTTTTACCCTGTTCTTCAGTGGTCAGGACCTCCATGGACCCTCACAGAGCAGGTTCTATTTGGGTGGCGGTGGTGTGCTGTGTTAGTGTGTGTTGTGCTGGTACAAGTGGATCAGACAGAGCGGTGCTGCTGGAGTTTTTAAACACTGTGTCCACTCACTGTCCACTCTATTAGACACTCCTACCTTGTCAATCCACCTTGTAGATGTAAAGTCAGAGATGATAGCTCATCTGCTGCTGCACAGTTTGTGTTGGTCATCCTCTAGTCCTTCATCAGTGGTCACAGGACGCTGGCCACAGGACGCTGTTGTCTGGATATTTTTGGTTGGTGGACTATTCTCAGTCCAGCAGTGACACTGAGGTGTTTAAAAACTCCAGCAGCACTGCTGTGTCTGATCCACTCAGACCAGCGCAACACAGACACCACCACTTGCTGAAATAATCAAGACCTTCCCTGAAAAAGACGTCGTCTGGATGGCAGCATAGGTTGCTCCAAAACCTGTGTATATCTTTCAGCATTAATGGTGCCTTCACAGAAGTGTAAGTCACCCATGCCCAGTGCACTAATGCACCCCTATACAATCCTAGAGGCTGGCTTTTGAACTGTGATAATAAGCCGGATGGTCCCTCTCCTCTTCAGCCTGGAGGATGAGGCATCCATGATTTCCAAAATGAATTTCAGATGTTGATTAGTCAGACAACAGGACTCTTTTCCACTTCGCCTCAGTCTATTTTAAATGAGCTCGGGCCCAGAGAAGGTGGCGGTGTTTCTGGATCCTGTTTATATTTGGTTTCTTCTTTGCATGGTAGAGTTTTAACTTTTGTTAAAACATTTGTGGATGCAACAACGAACTGTGTTTCACAGACAGTGGTTTTTGGCATTGTTCCTGAGACCATGCAGTGATTTCCAGTACAGAATCAGGTTTTTAACCCGTTTTTAATGCAGTGCCACCTGAGGGCCCAAAGATCACAGCCAGCCAATATTGTTTTTTAGCCTTGTCCCTTGCATACAGAGATTTCTCCAGATTGTCTGAATCTTTTAATGTTATTATGTACCGTGGATGATGAGATCCCCAAGTTCTTTGCTATTTTATGTTGAGAAACATTATTTTTGAAATGTCGCTCTATTTGTGTGTGCAGTCTTTCACAGAGTGGTAAACGCTGCCCATCTTTACTTCTGAAAGACTCTCTGAGATGCTCTTTTTGTACCCAATAATGTTACTGACCTGTAGCCAATGAGCCTAATTAGTTGTAAGATGTTCCACCAGGTGTTTTTTTTTTAGCATTACACAACTTCACCAGTCTTTTGTTGCTCCTGTCTGAACTTTTTTTAAAATGTGTTGCTGCCATCAAATTTGAAATGGGTATATATTTTTCAAAAACAATAAAATTTCTCAGTTTCAACATTTGATATGTTGTTTTTGTACTATTTACCATTAAATATAGGCTTTAAAAAATTTGCTTATGATTGCATTCTGTATTTATTTATCCCGTGTCTACCAGACAAGGATGGGTTCCCCTTTTGAGTCTTGGTTCCTCTTAAAGTTTCTTCCTCCTGCTGTTAGGTTTTTCCTTGGCACTGTTGCCACTGGCAACACTCATGGGGGCTCGGACCTGGATTTTCTTTCTCTGTAAAACTGCTGTAAAAAGCACCATATAAATAAACTTTGACTTTGACTTGATTTTCGACTTATTTGAGTTGTGGCATCTAAACACTATTAAAGTTTCAATATGTACCGGTCACTCCCCAGTCCTTACAGTCCATATATGGGAACTGCAAAAACAGCTCATGGTGAATTTACTGATTCTGTGATGTCACAACAACCAACACATTAACATGAATCGGCCTCTTTTAACCTACAGCAGCTATAGCCCCTCCCACTTACACTGAAGTTATAAAGAGTGTTTCAGCCTGGACTGCTTTTTGAACAAGGCACAATACAGAGCAGCCAATCAGAACAGAGATTGGTTAAAAAGGCATAGCAGAAAAATAGCCTGTTTAATTCTAAGGGACAAAGAGAGGTCAGAAAATGATCATGTAAAAATGAATTAAATGCTATGAGTGGACCTTATGAATATAATACAAAACAGATGTAGCATATGGGCCTTTTAGGTGCAGTAAAAGACAACAAGAATGTTTTGTTTTTTGAATAATAATGAATATGTAGGAAGAATACAGTGAGAAGAACGCATGTCTATGGATTTGTTCAATTCCATCAGCTGCTCCACATTTAATTTAATGAAGGATTGAATAGATAAACTAGGTTTTGGAGAAATTTGGTGCTGAATAGTAACTGTAAAAGCTGGACTTCCTTCAGGAGATCTTTGGAAATGGCAAAGCTAACACACCTTTACATACACAAGGTAGCAGGTTGAAATTATGTTAGTTGGCATGGCAACGACTCAGCAGTGAATTTTTAGATATTTTTGACACATTTTGACAAAATTTAAGTTAAGGCAATTAACTACAGAGAACACACTTACTGAGTTTAACATTGTGTAAAAAAAGGTTTATTTGCCATATATATATATATATATATATATATATATATATATATGTGTGTACACACCAATCAGGCATAACATTATGACCACCTCCTTGTTTCTATGCTCATTGTCCATTTTATCAGCTCCACTTAGCCCCCTTTTACCCTGTTCTTCAGTGGTCAGGACCCCCATGGACCCTCACAGAGCAGGTACTATCAGGGTGGTGGATCATTCTCAGCACTGCAGTAATACTGATGTGGTGGTAGTGTGTTAGTGTGTGTTGTGCTGGTTCGAGTGGATCAGACACAGCGGTGCTGTAAAGTCAGTGAGAGAGTTCTCTGTAGAGAACGTAACTTACTTTCACTTAAAAAAAAATCAATGTCTTTGACCAGAGGTGCCCAAACGTTTGCACACAACTCTAATTTATGAAGCAAATCATGAGACAAAATAATAGTTTTCTCTCACATATCTGTGGTTTCAATCTTCAAGTTTATAAAATTTACTCTATTGCAAAATCACATTTTTTCAAACTTAAACTACATTAATATAATGTACAAATCAAAACATATGTAAATACTGTTGCTGATCATTTATGTCCTCACTGATTTACTGACCAAATGACCTAACATAAAACCTTTTTTTCAAAGCCAACCAAAGCTACTTCAAACAGAAATATGCACAGAAGTGTGGGAACCCTAATTCAACCGTCTCTGGATTCACACCGTGCCGTATATTATTAGATTTAAACAGACTGGTTTCATGTCAAGCATGTAACAACAGAAGAACCATTTTGGGTGCTATATAGAACCATTTTCAAAAAAGGTTCTACATAGAACTGGCTATAGCACATTCTCCATCAACCCCAAGAACCTTTTCATGATTTTCCCACTGCCTTTACTGGACGGATCACACTACCACCTAGTGGTTAAGAAATGAACAGCAGCTTCTTTTGCCATAAGGACACAAAAGAACACAGAACACACAGCAGTGAAACTCTCCTCTTTTAATCCTCCTCATCACAGAACATCTTAACAAACTTAGTTAATATTTTTCTCCTGATCTTATCAATAAAGGTACAAAGTAGAAGAGCAATGCATTTCACCCCAGACCCCTGTTAAGAAAATTAGAGTAGATTTACTTAGAAAAAAAAAGGCCCTTTCAAAGTTTCTCCATGAGATATTTCAATGGCGTTTGTACAGAGACAGTATAAAACCAGCTGAGAGAGATAAACTATTATATTGGCACTGTTTTCCTTAAATACTGCTGGTAAACAGACTATCTGGGTTTCTATGCAGGACACTTTCTTACTAAGGCAAATGTCATTTTGGCGTATTCACTACTGCCTGATAGGCGACACCACATCAAAAAAACTAAGATTAGGGCCAAAGGCACAGTATTAGTAATGCTTTCCTATTGCATAAGTAAAACAATCATTGTTAAGGCAAAATAAAAGGGACAAAGCATAGTCAATTAAAAAAAAAAGAAAAAATATCAAGCGATACAGAAATTCAGTAAGATAAATCACTTTCTAGAGTTTCTTAATGCTATTTACTACCATCAAATGATGCGAGACTTGCAATTTTAACAAGTCTGCTACTATTTGACAGCTCACCATCAAATAATAAAACATAATGATACTTCTTAGAGTTGACAGAGTGAGAATTTTCTTGCTTCATTGTTTCATAAAAGAAAGAAAACAGAAATGACCAAATACAGAATTACACAGGATGTTCTTCACATTGAATGTACAATACAGGCAGACCACAAAGCCACCGCGAGCTATCAGACTGCTTAGGGTAATAACGCAACTATAAACAAGGATGGCGCGTCTGATTTGAATAGAAAGGGCATCAAAAAAGACGTTAGTGTTCGATATTTCACACATTCTTTCTCCATAATAAGTACAGAAGGAAACTGGCTTAAAGTTCTTTATCACCAGATACCACACACTCAAATCCAAACAGTTATACTACTTAAATATTTCCACAAAAAGAATTAGCAAAGCGTATTAAAGGGGGATTTGACTGGTAAATCAGCATGGTTAAATCATTTAGATGTAAATAAAGTCATTCAGAGTGGTTTGGTGTAAAACGCTCCATTCTAGAGAAACTTTAGTCGGAATTGTTCACAGTGGTGGTGACAGGAACCGGACATCCACCTCTAAAAGCTCCCTTACAGAAGGTTATTACATGAAATGCTTATGAATACACTGCTTTATGCCTGAGGCGTTGTTTTAAGATAGTATTAAGTAAAGTTTTTATCCTACTTTAAATTGGTTTTTAATGGTGGGGTGGTATCTGCAGGTGGAGTAGTACAGGCTCTAAAATCAAATGATTTTTTTCTGTTATATTTGCATTAAAGTTCAGAATGTTTGGGTGTAGTTTTTTTTTTTTAATCATGTAAACAAGCTACTAATAGCCTGGTGACAAATTAGGTGGTGTTGTTTACGACCGGCCTAGTTTTTTATTTTAGTCGTACCAATATTTTACCTTTATCAACATGATAAACCCAGGTGGGTTCCCTGGTGGTTTGGGATAGTAAATAAAATGGCAATATTTGTGCTGTAGACATCGTGACCCCTGGTTCCTATCACCACCACTGTAAAGAAATCTAAGTTTCACATCAAACCACTCTGCATGACTTTGTTTACATCTCAACAATTAAATAATGCAGAAAATGTAGAAAAATCTGGAGAATTTCCACTTAAGGTCTGGAGCTGATCTGAATGAAAACTGATTTGTCTGTCCCTGACTTGTCAAGTGCTTTCAAAAGTGTGGCAAAAATCTACTTGAGGTTCGCCCCCTCGCTGAACCATAAGATAACAGACAACAGATGTCAATGATTAAGGCACTTCCCAATAAGAATAAACAGTGCAAAAACATCTACACTACGCAGACAAGACTTTAAAGCGTCTGCAGTAAGGCGTTAGTGTCTCAGTACACAAGAGAGGCACAATAAGATGGCACTTGGTGTGTAAGGTTTTTAAAAGGCAATACTTTCGTTTTTAAGAAGTCTGGCTTGCAAAGAGTAAAGCGAGAAAACCCGAAAAGAAAGATTTAGTCATGTGGGAACTCAATAAACTGACAGGACAGGGATTGTCCGTGCGCCATCCACAACCGTGTTCATTCACAGCTACTTTGTCGTTGAGTTGGACAAGCTTTATACAACTTTAACTTAATGAGAAACACAGTTGGTGTCAAACTATTAACAGAGATTTAATGCACATTATTAAAGCTACACTAAGTAAGTTTTGGGGATTTGGAGACCTCTCTGGTGGAAACTTGTAACTGCACAGAATGTGTGGAAAAACATTTTGTAATGTATGTTGTGTGCAGACCCCCTACCCAAGCAGACAAATCTGATGATTATGAGTGCCCTGAAAGAGCATTTATAGAAAAGTTTGTTATGGTAATCACTATAATGCTGATTGGGCATTTGAGACATGTATTAATGTCACATGCACACAATGACATATAACATGATCAGAAAAAGTCCCACTAAATCCAACCCGACACCTCTGACTTTTAAATTATAATTTCAGGCTTTACAGGGTCACTCAGTTATGCCACTTCTTTTTATTTTAACCAAAAAATGTTGCATATGCTGCTTCAAATACGAATGATACTTATATTGTATCTCACAATGTTAGGATAAATGTAGTGTAGTTTTTTTAAATCACGTAAACAAGCCAACATTAAGATTGTGGCAAAACTGTTGTTGTTTACAACCTGCCTAGTTTCGATTAAGTGCAACAACACAGTCCAGCTCGGTAGTGTAGCAACTGGAAACTCAACATTATGTAGTGACTCTAAACCCCAAATTCATTAGGTTGAATAAGTTTTTGCCTACATTTTGCAAAGCCTGTCCAAAAGTAGCTACAAAAGAACGCGCTTGTGGGCGGAGCATGGATCTGGCACTTCACAATTCACCTAGCTGAGGAGACTGGAGGCACATATATGTATATAAACGCTGACTGAAAACACAAAAGCACCAAAAGTGAACGACATTAGTTAGAGTGTAGTACAAATTTGCAGTTAAATTCCAGAAGAATTCTAAAGGCTTCGTTTTATGGGTCCTGGATGTAAAAAAGACTTGTTCCAGACAACATCACTAAGACAGGTGTTCAGATAATAACTGACCAGTAAAACAAACACAAAATAAAACAAAAACAACAAGACAACACACACCCACAGCAAGCGTTCCGCTCAGCGTGTGTAAAAGCAGCGGACCGCACTGCATGCAGCTGGACCGTTTGGTTGAGCCAAAGCTTTTGCTTATCAAACTTTACTTTGCTTTAGGATGAGTCAATGTGAACAGGCAGTGGCGTCCTCTGGTTTGGATTGGCTTGAACGGAGAGGGAGGAGTCTGGCTGATCCAATTAGGAGCTCGGACCTCCTTCCTCTGGGTTGGGAGGTGGGTGAGCAGGCTTGTGGAACGGAGTCTCCTTATAGATGAACCAACAGTTACCCGCCCACAAGATCAGATTGAGGAAGCCAAAAATCTAAAGAACATATATAAGCAGATTAAATACATCACTGCCACACTTTGTTCTTTTTTTAAGAACAAGGAAGTTCAAACTATTTTATTTGTTAGTATTGTTAAAGCTCAAAAATGATAAAAGAAATGTACTTTTTACTTTTTGTTTCTATACAATAAAAAAAGAAGTACAAATAATACAAATAGTGGAACAAAGGACCAATCCCATTTCATCTTTTTACCCCTACCCCTTGTTTTCGAGTGTCACCCTAACCCCTTGGAACGGAGTCACAAAGGGTGGTGGTTGAAATCTTGCCCTACAAAATGGGACCCTCAAATAAAAAAAAAAAACAAACAAAACAAACAAACAAAAGACTGCTTCATTAACAGCTACGAGCGCTGCTCTGTAGGCAACCCGGCCCGTCTGCAGTGATAGCAGAGAAGGGAAAAGTTCAGCTCCTCACTGCTGGGCTTTAGTTACATTTAGGGAATCATATGCCTTCAAAGAGGGGGGCAATTATTTATTATGACCCACCCCTAATTCTTTGGTGATATGAAGCTGAAGTCAGATATTCGCCAGCTTCTAGTTCGAATTTTCCCATTTCACCTTAAATGGTGCAGCAGTTACATTCTGGCGCTTCTGGCGTCAGAACTGCTGGACTATTTAAGGTGGAACAGGAAAGTCAGCTTGCTAGCTACCGAGACATCAGCATACTATTAGCGATTTTTTAAGCTTGTTACGAAGAAAACGACCATAATACACTGAAACGACATTAAACTAAGAATACAATGGTTATCGTCATTTTTTAACAGATGAAATACTTGTGTGTGTTTCTTTGGTCACTCGCGCAGCCATCTTGCCGTTTTTTCTTTTTTTTTTTTCTCATAACACTCTGTTTGGAGTGTGACTCAGAAAAACCTCTGTTCGGAGGCCATGTAGCACCAACACTTCGACCTACCTCTCAATCTCAACAAAAACTGGAACACCCTACCCCTCGACGTGAACGCACATAACAGAGGGCTAAGGGCTCAGTGGTAGGGGAGAGGGGTGAAATGGAATTAGTCTATGAATAACAAAAAACAGGAGACATGCAGTCACAGGCAAATGCTATGGCGCCCCTGGTCAAATGACATGTTTTGATGATTTTCTAAGTGAAAATAAGAGAACATACATCTGCACATTTTAATGTACAATTACTGTTTATTTGCTGAATTTAACGTGTTGAAAAATAAAACATAAAATGACGTCTATCTAAAAGCTACAGCACATTTTATGTTTTATGTATAAATAAATAGAAATTGTACAATAAAATCTGCAGAAAAATGTCATTTAAGTTTGTTAACTTATGTTCACTTTCAACATCAACAAAACATGTATTCTGACCTAGGATGCTCAAATGCTTGCACACAACTGTTCATATAAAAACAATTAGGAGTGGATGGACTCACCACAGAAGCATTGAGGCGTCCCATGGCAGGGTATTCGTGGATTTGGCACGCAGGCTTGCAGCGATCGACCAGGACACTCAGGTCAGTGGCACTTTTCACATCAGTTAGTCCTTTTCCCCAGGCAGAGGACGACACCAGCCACAGAAACGCAAAGATCGCAGTCAAAACCAGATCCTGAAGCGACAACAACAGAAGATGAACTAGAGCAGGTACTGAAATCCCTGCACGTCCCCATTGCTTAACATTTTTAGACGCATCTACACAGAGAGCGTACAGTCGTACGCAACAGTTCGAACACCCCGGTCAAATGACACGTTTTGTTAACACATCCCCTATAGAGAACACACTTACAGTGGTGTGAAAAAGTGTTTGCCCCCCTTCCTGATTTCTTATTCTTTTGCATGTTTGTCACTCCTAAATCAGATCAGGTCACCAGTTTTCAGATCACCAAACAAATTTAAATATTAGACAAAGATAACACAAGTAAACACAAAATGCAGTTTATAAATGAAGGTCTTTATTATTGAGGGAAAAAGAAATCCAAACCTACAGGGCCCTGTGTGAAAAAGTGATTGCGTTAAAACATAAATTAACTGTGGTTTATCACATCTTTGGAAAGCTGAGCTCAATTTCCCTAGCCACACCTAGGCCTGATTACTGCCACACCTGTTCTCAATCAAGAAATCACTTAAATAGGACCAGCCTGACAAAGTGTAGACCAAAAGATCCTCAAAAGCTAGACATCATGCTGCGATCCAAAGAAATTCAGGAACAAATGACTCCACCATAAGAAAGAGACTGGGCAAAAATGGCCTGCATAGCAGAGTTCCAAGACAAAAACCACTGCATAAAGGCTCGTCTCAGTTTTGCCAGAAAACATCTTGAAACTTTTGGGAGAATACTCTGTGGACTGACGAGACAAAAGTTTAACTTTTTGGAAGGTGTATGTCCCATTACATCTGGCGTAGAAGTAACACAGCATTTCAGAAAAGGAACATCATACCAACAGTAAAACATGGTGGTGGTAGTTTGATGGTCTGGGGCTGTTTTGCTGCTTCAGGACCTGGAAGACTTGCTCTGGTAAATGGAACCATGAATTCTGCCGTCTACCAAAAAATCCTGAAGGAGAACGTCCGGCCATCTGCTCATGACCTCAAGCTGAAGCGCACTTGGGTTCTGCAGCAGGACAATGATCCAAAACACACCAGCAAGTCCACCTCTGAATGGCTTAAGAAAAATAAAAAAAAAAGACTTGAGTGGCCTAGTCAAAGTCCTGACCTGAATCCGATTGAGATGCTGTGGCATGACCTTAAAAAGGCGGTTCATGCTCGGAAACCCTCCAATGTGGCTGAATTACAACAATTCTGCAAAGATGAGTGGCCAAAATTCCTCCACAGCGCTGTAAAAGACTCATTGCCAGTTATCGCAAATTTGATTGCAGTTGTTGCTGCTAAAGGTGGCCCAACCAATTATTAGGTTTAGGGGGCACACAGGGCCCTGTAGGTTTGGATTTCTTTTTCCCTTAATAATAAAGAACTTCATTTATAAACTGCATTTTGTGTTTACTTGTGTTATCTTTGTCTAATATTTAAATTTGTTTGGTGATTTTCCAGGTCAGAAGCTTTATCGGAAGCGAGACGGTGCAGATTGAACTCTAAAGTGATTGGAGACCCTCAGATATCATCAAACATGTTTGATATTTACAACTCAAAACATTCACGAGTCCTGTAGTGTGAGAAGGTCAGAGATGAACTCAGTGAATGATTCAAACAACAGCCAATCAGAAGAGCGGAGAAACAGGCATGGAGACACGCATGCACACCACCTGAACAGCGGAGAACGAGAAGACAGAGGAGCTGCGCGTAAAACACAGGCAAATAAAAGCCATTATCAAGTTTATAATGTTTGGATCCAGGCGTCAGGTCACTCTCAGCTGCCAGTCTGTAGTGAAATATTTCTCCAGCTCTCACTGTATCAGCACTTCTCACCACATATTAATCCCCAGTTAGCGCTTTCGCTGAGCATTAAAGCACAAACAGGTCTGGTCCAGTAAGTTTAGCTTTGTTTGTGTCATGTGATCTGAGGAGATCTGGGAGTTTGAGTTCTTATTCGTAGCCCAAACTCATTAAATGTGTTATACTCTCCCTTGGCCTTGTTGTCTAGTGTGAGCGCCCTTACGACAAAAAGACAAGAAATTCCGTTACAAACTGACATTGTTTGTGATGCTCTCTGTTTTGGAAATCTGTTAAGATTTTAGAGTCGTGTCGTGTAACGCCCAGCCTTAAACATGGCATCTCTGCTAATTTTATTGCACAATTTTTAGTTATTTGCTGAGTTTAACATATTGGGGGAAAAAAAACCCAAAACATAAAATATAATGTGCCACCACCTTTGCACAGGTCATATGTTATGTTTTACATCCCCCACCCAGTATGATCAATTCGGATTAAACAGTAAAAGTGTGTGTTTTGTGTAGAGGATGTGTTGACTTATTCACACTATATAAAATACACAACCAGGGGCCCAAACTTTTGCACACGATGGCATAGGTGCCACACTATAACAGCTCGTGGTGCATGAAACTGGACATCAATGTTTTGGCCTTACATATTACTGAACTGGAAGGTGTAAAGTGACCTAACACAACAGGCCTGTAGGAGGTTTAACCAAACTTCAGTTTTCTGGACTAGCCACTGCTAAGGTCAAAGGTAGGGATGATTTTGAAATCATCTCAGTATCAGCAGATATTTGCTTAAAATTAAAATATCGGCATCGGACAGAGGTTTAGATTTGACCAATAATTCAAACCAATGTTTAATGATGTATTTACCGTACTCAAAAGAGCATGTTTAGGTGATGCTGTGCTACTGTATTTTATACAGTACAGCATCAGATAAACATCACTGCTTCATCTGAGAGAGAGGACAAAATCAAGCTGCTTCAGCTCTAAAACAAAGGAGCTGCTGGTGTTCTCAGAACAATGGACTGACCGGCCCAGAGTCCAGACCTCAACATCACTGAATGTGTTTGGATCATGAGAAGCACAAAATGCAACCAACTTCTAAGACTGAATTTTGGAGGTGTGGAAAATTATCCCTCCAGATTTATCTAAAAACTGAAAACGAGTCTCCTGAAAAGAATGGAAGCTGAAAATAAAAGGTAAAAGGTGGACACAGCAAATACTGAATACACTGTTATACTATATTATACATTTATATGTAGTTGTTGAAGCTTTTGTGTAATTTTCTGTTAAATATATGTTTTCTGCTTTTTTTCCTGAGTAACTTGTACTTAATGGCCCAATCCCATTTCACCCCTTGCCCCTACCACTTAGCCCTACCCCTACGTTTGCGCGTTCATGTCTAGGGGTAGGGTGTCCTGATTTTTGTTGAGATAGAGGGGTAGGGTGAAGTGTTAGGGCTACATGACCCTTCATACCATCGAAGAATGATGACAAATAACTGTTGGATGCCCCCTCTTTGAAGGCATATGATTCCCTGAATCTAACTAAAGCCCAGCAGTGAGGAGCTGAACTTTACCCTCTTCTGCTCATCACTGCAGACTGGCAGGGTCGCCTACAGAGCAGCACTAGTAGCCTATTAATGAAGTACTGTTCTTTTTATTTGAGGGCTGCTTCATTTCGTAGAGGAAGATTTCAACCACTACCCCTCGTAACACCGTTCCAAGAGGCAAGGAGACATTTGAAAACAAGCAGTAGGGGTTAAAATAAGAAATGGCATTGGGCCAATGACTGTTTTGACTTGAAATTAAATAAATGAAGGGTGGTCTACGACTTTTGCACAATGCTATACCTTAAGTGATTTGATAATTGCAGTATGTAGCCGTATAAAATGTACATGGAATTTCGTATGGAATTTCAGTGGAAGGATATTATCAAATTAATAAATAGCCATTCTACCATAATTTTTGCAATTAACATCCTAATGAGCCATACAGACAAAAGGGACACAAAAGCAACTGTCAAGTGTCTTCAGCCTAATCTTTATCGGCTGCATCTGAAGCTCGTACTTAGAACAATTAACAGAAGCCAACGAGTAGGTGCTGCAGCAGGCACTCCTACTGGCTTCTAAGTGTGCCATCTGGTTTCCTACTCTTGTCCTAAGTAATACAGGAAATAAGCCAAAATTACTGTCTGTATTAATTAACCTTGTGTTGCAGATGTGATTAGGTTGAAAAATGCTGGAAAACCCCTTTACTGTGAGACTTCTGGTAAACATGGACAAGAGACTTCACTCGCTCACTCACAATGATGGGTCCTCGGTTGGTTTCTCTGTAAACATGCTGGTAGCCCAAGTATAGAATCAAGGTGAAGGTGCAGTACAGGAAACCGAAGACGCCCACACACACAAAGAACTCAGCCGAAGAGGAGTAATCTCCCATCAGGTAAGTTATGTTCCCTGTACTTCCATTGCAGTTAGGAATAGTAAACGGATAAGCCGCGAGCCTGAGAAAGAGAAAAATACATCACTGGTAGAATCTCGAGAGAAAACACTACAAGAAATATTGCTAAAATAAGGTTGTACTGTAAAATTTAACAAACGGATCATGATTTAACACCCAGCTATTTGGATTGGTGAAAAGTTACACGTGTACGAGTTACTAAAGTGAGAATCTAATGTAGGAAAAGGTTCTGCTTTGCAAAATGGATGCTTTGCAGGACAATAAGTATAGTCTATTAATGTAACCACGTCACATTACTTTTGATAAGAAAGGCCAAATTGGCTTCACCATCCTTCAGACAGGCAGCTCAAATCCGATTTTTTGGCGTACCTGATTTGAAATGGCTGACAAAAAGCCACATTAAATCTGACTTTTTTCCAATCAGCTTCAGCACATACTTGTAGGTGGTTTTGAATATGGCTTATTTCTGGATATGTGGCTCAGTTTGACCAGCTGAATTTCATGTGTTTATTTTATCATTCAGGGTTCAGCAGTTCATGACATCTGAATGCACAAAAAAAAGCTGTTGGGGCATTTTCACACATCACAGCTTAAACACAGAGAGTAAAAGTTTTTATTTTTTATGTTTGTGATGAGTTACCATTCAACAATAGCCACGTTTACATGCAGCCTGATAATCCGTTAATAATCCGACTAATGGCTCAATCGGAATAGAATACGTCCATGTCTGATTGAGGCCATTCGGAATACAATTTCTATCCAATTGAAGGAGGAGAGTAAACCTCTAAATAATCCGTTAAATAGAAGAATAGCAGTCATGTAAACGCCTGAATCTGATTACATTCCAATCGGAACGTGTAAGTATATTCTGCGCATGTGCGTCGCGTCATGGCGAAAGTTTATACCGTTCAGCATGGCGGAGCAGAAACTGGTCTGCAGAGGAGACGAAGTTTATGCTCTGATCTTTAAAAGACGGCGGTGGGACGGACGTCCAGCTTATGTGTCTCAGAACACGACGTCTTCCTCTCGGCCTCCTTTAATAAGGACATGTGAAGGACGTTTTCCTGAGTCTGACATCATTTTAAAGCAATTAAAACACAAGCGCACCAACTGGAAACTCATCTCACGCGGACTGGACCTCACGTGATGTTCGCTGTCATGGTAACGTTTACTCTAAGCGCTACTCCACGCATGTGCGTCATTTTGCATCGGATTACTTGTAGTGAGCATGTAAATGAGGATTTTCCATCAAATTGCTGAACAGAGTGTGCATATAAACACCTCAGTCTGAATCTGTAATCGGATTGTTTTCAATCGGATTGGCAAAAATCTTTGCAGGTAAACATAGCCAATGTTGTAGCTTACAGTGACTACTACATGAGAAGATCTGAACTTAAAGCCTGTGTCTGAGCATCACTCTTACATCCTGGAGCTTGGCAGTCTGTTGTCAACCTACAGTGAGTAAGGTCTAGAAATCTGATTAAGAAATCCAATAAAGAGAGCTGGATTTTAGCTCAGTAATCAGATTTCTCAGTGCATGTAAACTCTTACTCTGATTTCTTTTGGATTTCTCAGCATGCGCATTGTGTGAAAACAGACAGCGGTACTGGAAATAAGCGAGCAGCGTCGCCGCGAGACACAGCAAAACACTTTTGGAGCGACACTGAAAAGGACTACATACTTGACAAAATGAAGGATTTAAATATTCTTCATCTTCTAGGTGCATGTAAACGCATTGATTGGATTACTGACTAAATCAGATTTTCTGTGTTATCAGATTATTAACTGCATGTAAATGCACTCATTGATGTCGTGTTCTGTTTATGCTGTACTTAATAAAAAGTGAAACGCTGCTGTGAAATATAGCCCAATCATTCTCGTCGTTAGGTCTGCTAAGTTTTGCCGCTACCTGGTCAGTCATTACTACAGCAACCAATGTGAATTTGCAAGCAAGCAAGACAACAGTCAGTCTGACTGTACGAATCAGATTTGGTTACTTCTAACTTGAAATCTGGACATTAGGTCTAAAAAACCACAATTAAGAAACTCCAATTTTTATGTTTATGCCTCTGCACAGAAACAGTACACTAATCTATACTTCCCAAAAATAAAGGCTTACAGCAGAGACCTACAGATCAGTTAGAAGTGTATGTATTAAATACTTTTGTGCACCATAATTAGACCAAACCTTGCACATTAAATGTATGAGCAATTGTGAATTTCACATTTAAATTTGGGATACTGCCAGTATGAAGGACAACTTATCCTCCTCTTACTACCATCAACAACAATAACAAAAGTATGACTGACTCTAGTCACTCATTTCCCATCTAGTAAGTTACTTACCTGAAAGGATAGCCAAACTGTATTTTAATATCCGTTTTTGTGGGACATTCAGTGGTAATGACACCAGCACCGAGATAGCCACCAGTAGTGGCAAAGGCAAAGATGGTGAAGAGCTGGAAAACAGAATGCAGGCCTTAGAGCGTAGCATGGATATACATTTAACAATGCAACAACATCAATAACAATCATTATATACCACTGATTCACTATTTCACATCAAACTACTCCAAATTACTTTTTATATCTGTGAATGCATTAAGCAGAAATGTTCAGAAATTGGTGGAAATCCCCTTTTAATGTTGATAAACAGATGCAAATAGTGCTACTGCAATAAATATTATACGATCTGCAATGAGGTGAAATAGCTGTATACAGTTCTGTGCAAAAGTCAAAGACATAATGCAGACAGAGGTGATTGGTAGGCAGGGTCAGCTCTTCGGCTAGCTGAGCAATGCTGCACGTAGACAGTTAGTTTCCTACAGCTCAGTTTGTGCTCTGTTTTAGCTTAGAAACAACGACCTTTATTCATCAAAGTTGGGTAGAAATGCGCGCAGGTTTGATCTGCCTGAATGAACTACTCCACATCTTATTCAGGAAACTGTCCTACGACAAAGAAACAAGCGCTGATTTGAGCGCAACCGATGAATCGGCTTTGCTGCGTAGAAACAAGTACTTTATTTATATATAAATTCAGAATCATCCCAAGATCCCCCAAATCTATCCCATATAATTTCAAAACCCCTTAAGCCAGGCGTACACTGTGCAATTTCAGCCCGTTTTTAAGCCCGATTTGGTTGGAACCGAACCGATTTCTCAAAATCACACCCAAAACAACACACAATCACAACCACTGCTCCTGCACGGAGGAAAAGAAGTCCACATTTGCGGCACCAGCGTCCATATATGCAGACTTTACTCCGTTTGGCTGAGTTAAATTGTGAGGTATAAATAAATAGGGTAACTTTTTTCTTCGTAGAGCTGTCTGTCTGTAGACCGCCTGCTCTTTAGCTTCAGTGCACAGTGTGGCAGAAGTGAGCAAAGCTGTTGTAGCAGTTTGTCGATGGCTGAATCTGGCTTCTACACCAAAACAGTGCACTGCTTGTCCAGTATGGAACTGTGCACTCATGGCTGAATCTCAGAAGGCTATTTATTAGACATGTTATGCACTTTATGGGTGCAGGAGCCACTATTTTAAAATGTGGTGCACTATGTTGGGTGCAGGAAGCCATTTGCGATTGTTTTGATTAGGGCATCGGAGGCAAAGCGTGTTGTTTTGAATGAAACAGCTTTATTGTTGTCAGAGCGTCTGTAGGGGCTGCGTTTCACGTCCAAAAAGGGTTTTTCTACTAGCTTGTAACAACAGAAGAACCCATTTGGGTTCTAAATAGAACCCTTTTCAAAAAGTTTCTATATAGAACCATCTACAGCACGTTCTCTATCAATGAAGAACCCTTTCATGATGCAAAGAACCCTTTAAGCATTCAAAGGGTTCTTTGAGTGTTCATGGTTCTACATACAACCTTTTTTTTTTTTCTAAAGAACCCTTGAAGAACCATATTTGAGAGTGTAGAGCTGTCATGATTACAAAGCTTCAGATAACAATTAATTGAAATGAACAATTTAATTGTCTTTTTTCATTAATTGTCTGCAACCATAAGATTACAAGCTTAAAGTGGCCAAATGAGCTGATTAGATAACTGCTAACTGCTGGCATACATGCTAAAAACATTAGAACAGCTAACAAGAATTTATTCTTTTCGTTTTATTAAGACAAAAACTCGTGCCTGATTCACTCTCACTCTCTGCTTTTTTCCATGTTCTCTTTCCCTTTCTGTCTCACTCACTCACTCTCTTCATTTCTCTCCCTCTGACTCATCCTACACATCCAAACCCGAGCAACTGCTCACTTCTCTTATCTTAAACAATCACCTTCTGCACAGGAAGGATTCTCCTGTCATCAGTTTTGATTTGTGTTTGGCTTGTGTCAGATGAGCTCATTCATCTCAGGTGTTTTAGTTGGACTAACAGTGCAGTCGGTGGCAGTGGTGGGGGTCATAAGCGCTGATAAAGGACAGACGTGTGTGGTATTGTAAACAAACTTAGCAGAGTGACTAATTAGGGATTCCTTCCAGGACTGTTTTCCATCACCCAGCTGGAATTTAAACCCCAAAATTCAGCTCTCCAAGTCTGACCAAAGCTGTGGTCACAGCGCTAGTTTTAACTTGTGGTCTATAAGGAGCAGAAGTAAAAGAAAACTTTTTACTATTTCTGTACTAATACAAAATCTAATCTAATCTAATCCAATCGTACACAAATAGAGGACTTTTTTCTTCCTAACCATTGTTGATATTCCTGTTTTTTTTACAGAGAGATACTTTAATATTATATGTATGAAACGTCTTAATTTCTGCTTTTTACATCTTCATGAAAACTTTTCTGTGGGTTATATCCAGTTATATGCAAAAACACACCTAGTGAAGTTAGATATTTAGTTGTTTCTATTTATTGTTGTTTTCATTTACTTGCTGAGTTTAACACAATGAAGATGTAAAATGTGCCAATAACGTGCAAAACAGGCCAAATTTTGGGCTACATTAATAAAACTTGGTGGTAACAGCTCTGCCGCATGCAAAATGTGCAGCACTGTAAATAAGAGCTAATCAAAGTCACTGTATTTACACCGGGGCAAGAACCAATCAAAATCCACATGTAAATGTAAAAGCCTGTCATGAATCCATACTGCAATATGTAAATTAAGGAAACATGTGGCCATACCTCACCTTGCACAAGTGGTAAAACACACCGGTAATCCTCATTTATGAATGAGCAAACGTGTCACCACCACTCTTAACGTCACACTAATTTTGTGCTTTATAAATCTGGCCCTTTGTGTTTTATTTTTATATGTTCAATTCAGCAAATGAACAAAAATTGTGTACTAAAACAAACACCAAAAAAACAAAATCTAACTAGGGATGCCAAAACTTTTGCATATGGCTGTATCTATGGATCCAGGTCTAAATGTTATCGAGTTTTCTCTCTACTCCCAAGCTTTACTCCTGATAATCACTCCAATCTCCAACACTATTATTACCTTCTAAAAATATTTTCATGCTGTTTCAGCAACAAAGTAAATTCCTTAATCTGTTTAAAGCGCATAAAATACTAGAAATCATCCCATTACATCGTTTAGGGCTGGTATTTCAGACATGGATTAAGCCTAGTCTTAGACTAAATTGCAGGGCCAATGGTGTATGTGTCTGTGATTAGCCTTAATCTGGGCCTGGGAAACTGGCACAGATTTTATTATTTGATTTTTTACACTCTTTTTCTTAGCTTCTTATTCTCCGATTCCCCGTCAAAGATTTCACAATTTTCTGTGCAGGTCACCGGACCGTATGAAGAGTGTTGGCTTGTACGTTAATGATTATGACACCCTTAAAAACTTTGCTATAAATAGTCCTGTGCTTTTGCCAACCAGCCACATTACAGAGATCCCCTCTCTCTGCCCACATACCACACAGATTAAACTTTTCTATGAGGACCTTAAGATTCTCACGCTGCCTATTTAAAGAGAGAAGCACACAGGTTCACGAGAGGGACAGGATGAAAAGAAAAAAAATAAAATAAGTCAGCATGCTCAATGTGCATAGCATGGCACTGCAGTCTTGGTCTGTTTTCTTTCCTTTTTTTTTTATTTTGAAAACAGGTAACCGCAATCCGCAAATCAGATTTGTTCCTCAACCCGTTTTTCTTTTAAACTAGCTGAACTCCCACGTCTAAGAAAGCTACTGACTTGTGACTTTGATGCCAAAAAAGGGAAAAAAAACCCCAAAAGAATGTGGTCCGGCACAGAATTTGTGATTCAGACTCTACATGTTTAGACTTGGCTGAAAATAAGATGTCAAGCATGTATTTAAACAAAGAAAATAAAAAAGAGCCTTTAAAAAAAAATGTACATGCAAACTGGAAAGAACACTGAAAAGCTGAAGCAGACGCAATATTATTTCACAACAATCATTTTAAGGGAGCACTTTTATTTTTGCATAATTTTCCTTTATTTTAGATTTAAGACCACACAAGCCACGTCTAAAGCAGATCCTGCTGGGCTCTGCACTGCAGAAGTAAGTTCTGGACCTCGAGCAATGTGAGGGTGTGGCGATGACCAACATGATCAGGGTGTGCAGAGCCAAATATAAATCATCTGTGTACAGAAAACAGTAAATGTACTACCGTCTAAAAATATTCCAAAATGTACAAAATATTACAAGATGCCTGTTTAAATCTGACGTGATTGTTAGTCATTAAAGTTGGCTCTGTTCACACAGCAGGTAAAAATGGCCCAAATCTGATCTTCATATGTGACACAGATGTGTTGTCTGTGTGTCAGTGTGAACAGCAAAAAACAGGCGATTTCATATGTGGTACTGAAATCCGATAGAGATCCAACCTGCGGCAACTCAGTCTGAACAGCCAGATCAGAATTCATGCGACTTTTACGTCAATCCAGCTTGACATTCGTGGCCGAACGCGGTCGCAGGAGAGCAAGGCTGCAGCGTAAAAAAAAACGACCTGAGCCACTTTTATATGAGGTCCTAGATCGGACACAGATTCGATTTATGGCCAGGCGACCTTTATCATCTTCACAGCAAAAGCTCTTTCTGCTTGTTAGTTTGTTTGCTGTTTATAACGCACGATTCATACACATGACGTTACTGATTAGGATGTGCACATGCGGGTCATTTCAGGGCGTCGGTTCGGTCACACTAATGACAGATTAGAGAGATCGGATCTTAGCAAAAAAAAACTGACAATGGGTAGCTGTGAGATTCTTCCAGAGATGGAACAATTTGTGTTAATATGTTACCGGTGTAATGTTGTGGGTGGAGTTTTCACAGGATCCTGCTGGACATCAGGAACTCCTAGAGCCTCTTTAACTCCATTCCTGGGGGGCCAGTGTCCAGTACAGTTTGGTGATTTCCCTGATCAAACATTCTACCTAAACCTGGCAATTAGAGGAACTGATTCAGGTGTATTTCAGCAGGGGGTTCACCTGTGCTGTGCTGGACACCTGCCCGTCAGGACTGGAGTTAAACACCCGTGTCTTAGGCAA